ATTGAATATGTGTTGAATTCTATCTATAAAAGATTGATCATTATTCATATTTCTTCCCAAGGGAAAGTATCTTGTTTGTTAGGTTCAGAGGTGGGAGTAGGGATTGATGTAAATTACATTTCAAGGTGTGTGTAGTGGTAATGGGAAAGAGATTTCCATATGGATCACAACTGGAATATTCTAGTCCAGTGGCTTGATCTGACTGAAGAAGTATTTCTTTGGAAAGAACAAACTTCCTTGGTTATAAATATTTGTCAGTAATATAAGCCTATTTTAAAAGGTAAATACGATGGGCGTATGAGACATGAAGGCACTGCACTAGTGAACAACAGTGGATCAGGAGTTTGATTTTTCAAATAGATACGTTTCTCTCCCTTCCTTTTCAACACGTCATTTTCAGTTTTTTTTCCTGCATGTAAACCGCAGTTTTTGGACTTACAGCTGTGTGATTTTGCAGTGTTTTAACATAAATTGTCTTGCAAACTGTTGTTAGTCATGACACTTCGGTAACATAATGTAACATAACATATGTACTTCTCTTAGAAAGGTCTTTGTTTTTCAATAAACTTCATCCAGTGTTTCAAGATGTCCTCAGTTGGGGTGTATGGGGAAAAGGTTTATGAGGAAAGACTGCTTTTTTTATAAGAAGCAATTCAAGTTTTGTATCATTGGATCATTGTGCCACTTGCATACTTGTTTGGGTTTGTAGCCATTGAAGCAAATTACAGTTTAATTCTCCTGATGCTGCTGCGTGAATTAGGTTGTCCTCTGATATTTTTGGAGCCCATCAAGCAGCAGTGATACCCTGAGTCCTTTGCACGTGTTCTCAGAAAACTGTGGTGAGAATGCAAGTGAAAGGATTCTGACAGCACAGGCCCACAATAATACTGTAGTGATTCTGCTAAAAAAGAAAATGTAATATTGATTTCAAGTTATGTTTATTCTGAAACTTCTCAGACAACATTTTTGCTTTTCCTTATTCTGTTTTATTCCTTCTTGTGATTCCAGGCCATTAGAAGTATCTTTAAAGGACTGAATAAAAATCCAATTCAGTCCTACACAAATGTGATCCACTCTGCTGTGTATGGTGATGTATTTTGAAGAAAAGCAGTACAACAAGATGACCTGAGCAGTCTTGAGTTGTCAGAGGAGCAGCACTAAGTCATTTTTCGTTCTAAATAAGGGGAAGGCACAGTGGCATTACCAGCAGGACATGGGCTATGTTTGTACATATTTTAAACATGTTAATTGAAACATTTAAAGTTAACAAGATAACATTTTTCTAAAGTGTTCCTAGAGCACTGTTTGAAAGTATATTTCAGTTTTCTTTGTGGAGGGGAAAAAAAAGAATTCAAGGAAGTGTGAAACTTCTTTGGTGGAAGCCTTTGTAGTGTTGGCTATAATGATAAACCTCCCAAAAAACCTCATTGTTCAGCTCTGCATATGCCTTTGGTAAAAAATAAAAAAGGAAGTCAGATTCAAGGTAGATTTTTTTCCTGTGGACAAACAAATCGTATTCATTTTGTTCTTTTAAAAGAGCATTTTCTGTGGTAATTAAAGCCACAGGCAGGAGAGAGACATTCTGATTGAGCTTTTCTGCAAAGGCAGTGATTGCAAGTGTGCATTGAAGGTACTTGTCTAGAGCTTTTGTGGATGTAAACTAGAAAGTGGACAGATCTGAATCTCAAAAATTACTTGATGATTAATTTTAAAAAACTCCCAACAGTGTTAAATATCAAATCTCATTTTGGTGCTGACCTTCCTCAAGGTGTTTAAAGCTTTTCATGTTTTGAGGTTCATGCATGAAAGCTCACAGCATGAGGAGTAGCAACAGAGTTGTTATTTGAATGAATGAGTACATATTTGACTGGTTTTGCTATGATACACTCCTATGCAGCTTTGCTAATACCATCTTCCTTTGAAAGGCATTTTAAGAAAGATTTTGAAGAATGGAATGGTTCTTTTAGCGCTAAGCACAACAAAACAAAGAGTGGGTGAGACTGTATAGAGGATTAGTGAAAAAAGAAACAGCATTGTGCTACACTAGTTCAAAAAACTAAGTTTTGATCCCTAACTTACTGGAATAACTGACATTCTTTGAAAAAATGTTTTGGTTTTAATTTTTTGGTTTTCAATTTCTAAACTGATTGAATTCTGATCAGATTTACAAAAAAACTTCTATATGACCTAAGTACAGATATTCTTTGGAGCAGAATCATGTGTTTTGCAAGTTAGACTGTGGTGGATTTGCAGCATTTACAAACACATGCAAACAGGTTATTAATTTCAGCTTTCTCTGAATATTTTCTTGTATACTAAGTGAGCTGTTATCATTAATTACACTGTATACATTAATTTTAATCCTGTAGGAAATGAAGACTTCATTTTAACATCAGTTTGCACCTCGAGAGATGTGCCTTTGACTTTATTATGATAAAAGCCTAGAAAAAGTCCTTTTAGGAAAACACATTTCCATGAGCTTGGTTTTAAAAATGCTTCCCTCACCTCATCATGTGTGGTTATTTGGGACTTGTAAATTCTAGCAGATCTTTATTCCTTGTTGCATGCAATTGTTCAATATTTTTTTCTTCTTGCGTATTTTATGTTAGCCATTCTGGACTATTTGTAGGGAGAAGGAGGACTTCCAGTATTCACTGCTGGAATATAGAGAGCATCTGTGTAAATCTTTCTCATACTTGCACTTATCTGGCTTTCAGTTATAAGTGTATTTAGTGTCTTTTGCAGTAAGCTGAAGTCTCCCGTGGTGTGTGACTGACAGGTGGAAGTCACACAGGTCAGATACAACAGCGTGTGAGCAGAATGAGAGGCTGGAATTAGCCTGAGCTCCAAGATGGAGGTGTCATTGCTCTACCTCCAGCAGTTTGTCTGATCACTGGCACTCATGATTACTCCTGTGTATTCTTGCCTGGGGAAACCATATACATGGACATGTGAGAAAGCCCCTATGGGAATTAATATGTTTCGTAAAGTTCTTTATTCATTCCCAATCTCCATTTTTAGCAGATTTTCTGGTGTGTTTCTAAGGGTGCACAAATCTGACCCTTCCTTTGTAGAATTGTTCTGCAGACAACAAAAGGACGCTACTGCATGCAGTTATATCCCTGTGTATTTCCCAGAGTCTGACATGAAACCTGTCATTTCCTCTTCCCTTACTCTTCAGCTTGGATGTTAGACTGGATGGGCTAAGGGGTGAGGGCAAGACTTTCAATCAGAGCAGAAAAATTAATTTTAGGCACTGCTAAACCACAACATTTAACTCCAACCTGCTCGAAACACACTGCAAAGGCACTGGGGGCATGAGTAGAGCAGTGGTGGGTAGGCAGAACTTGTGGAAGTGGCACCCGATTTTAGGGGCCTTGGGTGTGAACTTGCGCCTCAGAGAACATCTCTGCCTGTGTGGGATAAGTGTTGTGGAACCTTTCTCACAACTTTTCCTGTAGTGGTGGGCTTGAGCTGGTTGCTGGATTCCTGAAATCTGTGGAAATGATGATGAGTCCTCTTATTGGTAGAGAGAGTTATTAAGCAGAGAGGAACAAATCCCAAGTTAGCGAAACTTCTCTTAAATTGTACGGCCTTTTGAATCCAGTTTTCACTGCCTCTTTGGTTATCTAGAAGCAGCTGTTTCAAGCAGGGCTGAAAATGTCTCTCCTCGATGAGAGCAAATTGTCATTGCAGCGATAAGATAACAATAAAAGGATTTTGGTGATGGCTGGAGCCCTTTGGCTGCATAACACAGTGACACAAATGCTGGATACTGCATGTGGCACTGCCATGAGTATCCGGCTGTTCTCCTGGGTTAGCTGCCATGACAACTGCGCTGCTGGGGAATGCCCTGTGCTGGTCTTGCAGAGAGCTGAGGGTCATTGATATTCTGAGTGTTTCTTGGAATATTGCAGGCAGTAGAGACCCCTTCCCGTAGCTCTGCCAATGTTTAGTATTATCACAGTGGGTAAAATAGGGAAATGGTGTTGTTGACAGGTACCTGGGGAAGGAGAAAAAGCTAGTTTCTCTAAAAGCAGTTTTTTGTTTTACCGCTTTAATTTTATAGTTTTACCAAATAATTCCAAATTACGTAGCTTCTACATGACTTTTACTTCCAGATTTCATTTGGGTGTGAATTGTTAAAATGAATATGGAAACAATACAGCAAAATTTTGATCTGTTTGAATTTTAAAAAATAGCTTACTATCTACAAACACTTTTTTCCTTACAAGGGAGTTAGAATTCAGTGGAATTTCTTGTTGTAGCTTTTTGGTTTTCATTGTTTTTAAAGCAAACACTTGCTCCTTCACAAAGGGATTTTTATTGACTTTTGAGGGCTGAAGTTTTTTCAAGGTCTTTGATTTTGTGTTTTTAAAGAATGTCAAAAACATTTTTCTTTCTGATATCCCCATCCTTCTTGAAATACATTGCAACATCATTACTGGGATAATTAAGGACAGACAACTGCAAAGACCATGGAAGGGACTCTCTTTCTTTTTTTCTTGAATATGAAATACCTTTTCATAAAAGGAGGAATTATTTTATTTTTTTAACAGGGCATTAAAACAGAGTATACAAATAAATAAATTCCAGATGCAATCTCTTTAACTCAACAGATTTTCCTACAAGCAATTAATGTCAGAAGCTTTGATATTTGAATAGTATTTTCCTATCAAAGTCATCAGCCTGCATATGTAGTTAAAGGCAAAAGTCATCAGTGCTTATGTAGTTTATTGGCAAAAATACAGGTGTTAAACAGAAGAGAAGGTGTTTTTGGCAGTAGGGAGCAGTCATGTTTTACATTCTTGGCCCTGAGGTTTCCTGCACTACTAGAGACCTGAAGTACTGGGGAACTCAAGTGTTTGTATGATTACAAAAGAACATTATGGTATCACTGCGAAAAGGTAAAGACAAACTTATTGTTGCTGGCCAACTGAGGATTTAGTACTTGAAAGTATTGCATTTGTTCATTTTGCTTTATATATTTTGCTATCAAGGTAACGTGCTTGCAAGACTTCTTTGGAGATGACGATGTCTTCATTGCGTGTGGGCCTGAGAAGTACCGGTATGCTCAGGATGACTTCGTGCTAGATCACAGCGGTAAGACTGTGCTTCCTAAACCCACTTAAAGAGTAAAATCTCCCCCTAGCTCCCCTGTTCAATCCTCAAGAGTTATGTCATTTAGGAAACTATACATGGAAAGACATCTTCCTATGGATCAAAAAAGTTTTTTCAAACCGCCATCTGGATTCTGTGAGCCTGTTAAAATGCACTAACAAACCTGATCTGTTTTCCTGCAAAACGGACACTGTCTGTAAAGTTACATGGAAAGTAGCATTGAATTTTGAAAGGTTCAGTCATCAATATAATGAATCTGAAATCTGCTAAAAATGCTCACTTTTGACATCTGTGACTGTAAGATAATTTCCATGCTTTTATATTTGTGAGATTTTTAAAAGGTCACATATGTAACCCTGCTCATTTCAGGTCTTGAATTGTCCTGCCAGACAATTCACATATTCCAATTTTATCTGCTGTAGACCAAGTGATGATCCTTTATATATTGTGAGATTATAGGGGTTGTTGGGTAGGGAAGGAGGTGAGACAAATTGGGACTTTGTGCCTGTCCTGTCTGCCTTGGACAAATCATGAATTTAACTTGTTTATGAAAGTTGTTTTTCTGTGAAGAGAAACTTTATAATGTAAAGTTCAAGGAAAATAAAAGAAAAGCTGCCTCTACCAGGCAGTTTTAGAATTGTCCTGCATTATCGAATCATAGACATGTTGGGGGTTTTTCTCCATGTTCATAGAATCATAGAATGGTTTGAGTTGGAAGGGACCATTAAAAATCATCTACTGCAACTCCTCCAGCCCTGAGCAGCAACATCTTCAAAAAAAAGTTCACATGGTTCCAAGCTGCATGGAACCTGACCTTGAATGTTTCCCAGAATGAGACATCTACCACCTCTCTGTATTAACTCACAATGCAAATCCCAGTCTGGCCATGATCCTAATTTCTCTTGCACATTTTAAGGCTGTAAGATTACTTTTCACATTACGAGGTGCACAGACTAACTAATTGGGCTCATTTCCTCACTGAGAACCCAGTGATGGAGGGGTTTTTCCTCCCTTTGTCTCTTCAGCTTTGGTGGTCCCTGCTTCCTCTAATAACTCTGGAAAAGCAGGTTAGGTACAGAGAGGAACATGACTAGCAGGGCATACAGCTCAACTTCAGTATTTTTGATGATGACATTGACATTGCAGTGATGAATAACAGGGACAAAATTAGGAGGGAAATTTATATGATTCCATTCAGAATGATTTGCTAATGATGCCAGCTGTAGGAATGAAATGTTTCCAAAGTGTCAGTGCATGTATGCCTATTGATTCCTTTTCCACTTAGGTTGTCTTTTATTTAATAATATATAGCTGATGGTAAATGACAGTAATCTATTGTTTCAGCCTTTTGGAAACAATAGACGTTTTTCACCTGTTCAAAAATTGATCACAACATCAGTTTCTTGCAAGAGAAGGGAAATGGTGCTGGCTGTGCAGTTGCTCTATATGAAACTGCTGGTACAGCATGCAGAATTTACCGAATTATCAGAAGAACCTTGGCATCAGCATATGTACAAACTTAAATTATAGTAATAAACCAGCTTCAAGACGTGAAGAAGTGTTATACGCAAAATATTGCATACAGTATTTGAGTAGCTCAAATATGTTTTTATGCAAAGTAGGTTAGAGTTCTGAGGTGCTCTTACAAATTTGTTCAGTTCAGTAGGGCATTTCATCAGGGGTGTGTGGAGGAAGGCTGTAACACTGAGCTGTTGTCAAAACTCTTACCTGCTTGCTTTGTAGAATGTCGTGTTATGAAGTCCTCTTATTCCCGATCATCTGGCATGAGGCACACTGCATCCAAAAGTCCAGGACCTTCACGTCGAAGCAAATCACCTGCCTCAGGTACTACTTCTAGGAAAAAGCTGAACACTTGAAATACATGAAAGTTAGAATTTGTTTAATAGGGTGAAGAAAGCTGTTGGCTCTGTCTAAAATACAAGTGCCATGCTTTGCTTCCTGAGGGGAAAAGAACGTTCTTTCAGTTTGTCTCATAGATTTAATACTAATCTAAAATAAAATTTGCATTTTTTTTTTTTAGTTCTGGGAAGAAATATGGTTTCTATTTTTCTAATTGCAGGAACAAATAATTTCAGTTTATTCACATTGAAATGATTTGTGCTAATTGTACACTTGGGATATGTTTTCAGCATGGCACTTGATTTTCTTGAAGGCTGTTAACTACAGGGTGGTTATGTGGTTAAATTTGTGTTCATTGAAGTAGAGTATACCCTCAAGTTTTGAAATGGAAAGATTTTTTTCTATATAAGGCAAATATTGCAGGAAATACAGAACTTTGATGTTTAAAGTAAATTTAGGAGATGTACTGTAATGTTATTGCCCATTAGCAGAGAATTTTTTTTCTTCTTCTTGTAATTTCAGGAAAGGTTCTGAACACCATATGTTCCAACCATTGAGTCTGTTGTGCAATAAATAAAGGGAGAAACTTGGGGTTTTAAATTTTTTTTTTTAACCTCTACATTTAATTTCTAAATATAGTAAAACTTTAATTTTTTTTCTCTCAGACCTGGAGAAGTAGCCCTGAAATCAAACCATTGAATATGTAAATATACGATGCTCTTTTTTGAATGTAACTGTACATGTAAGCTCCCGTGTGTGTATTCAAACCTGTGACATGTTCCATATTCTCATTTCCACATCAATATTTGTTTTGTTTAATTGACACTGGTTAAAGTAATTTTCTGTCTTTGGGTTCTTTCAAAGTAGAATATTTATAATCTGTTTGTAAAGGTTGAGTATTTAACTGAAAAGCTTCAAAGAAGGATCACAGAAAAATGTAGCATAAAGGACAAGTTTTGCAACTGATCTACATTTCGTGCAATTCTGTTGCCTCCAATGAGATCACATAGAATATCTATCAGCAATGAATTTTATGCAAAGTATTTATAAATCAGTGCTACCATTTCCTTACTTATTTCTACTTGGACCTCCCTTGGTTTGGTCAATTTGAAAAATTTATCCAAATGTCTGATATTTATCCTTCTGTTTACTTGCCTTTCTTTTTCATGTAGTCTTTACTTAGCTTTATTTACCCTTCTTCCTTTCATGCATGTTCAGAGCTGTTTAATAACTTCTTTCCTTAATGTCTTTTTCCTTTGTGTCAAATATATGAGTACAGTAAAGAGGGGTGGCCACTACTCCAGTGCTCATTCTTCAGCAAAATCCCCAGGTGAGCCATTACTGTTATGGCTGTGTATCAGTAGTGTCTCCTCCCTCTCCATTTACCTGTATTTTTTTTGCTGTGTTTTTTCAAGCTTGAAACACACATTTTGCATTCGATGAAGCAGAGACATAATGGGTGTTGTTTTTTTGTTGAAGTAGATTATTTGAGCAAAATAATGTTTTTTACTTGTTGGACATCTGCTAATGGTGTCAAAGTTAAATTTTTAGAGGTATAATTCGACTACAGGTAGAGGAACGTTCTGAGGAGCAACACATTTATATGTCTGTTCTAAAGCTTATTATAAGAGAAAATTTCAGCCAGCAAAAAAAGACGGGGTGAGTGTTACTGAAAAAAGCAGTGCAAAACCATGTCGTAGGTTTTCATTTTATCTGCACTTTCTTATCTCTCTTTGTTTTCTTTTATTGTTTCAGCCTAAGTTCTTAAACACTGAGAAACCTCTCTGAACCTTCAGTTCAAAGTGAAAGTATCTGTGAAACAAGTAACATATAATTTGATTAGCAAATAACTTAAGACTTTGAACCCTATTAGAAGTTAACAATTGAAAGGGTATTAATAATTTTTCAGTTTTAAACATTCCAGTATGCTAAAGAACTGTAGCCTAACATATACTGCTTAAGAATGACAAAAAAGATTTTTTTTTCTGTATATTCAAACTGGTGTACATGTTGAAAGAATCTTCAAAAGAATTTATGCTTAGAGAGTTGATAAAAACATTAGGTTTGGAATATACATGAAATAATCAGCAAATCAATAAGATTGGACAAGTTTTTGCCTGTACAATTCTTGTGCCTGTACAGATTGCTTGTGTGGTTTTTTGAGGGGGGGGGAGAAAAAGTGCTACTCTATGAAATAGCAGTTTAAACTATTTAACCTCAGCCAGCAACTGAGCATCACATAGGCACTTGCTCACTCCTCCCTGCAGCAGCATGAAGGAAGTGAATTGGAAGGGTGAAAGTGAGAAAATTCATGAGTTAAGAACAGTTTAATAATTGAAATAGTAGTAACAACGACAGTATTGTAATGCAAAAGAAAATAACAAAGAGAGAGAAATTAAACCCAAGAAAGACAAGTGATGCAAATGACCAGTGACAGATGCCCAACCAGTTCCTAAGTAGCAACCTCTCTGCCAAAATTCCCCCTAGTTTTTTTCCGGAGTGTGATGCCCTATGGTCTGCAGTACTCCTTGGGTCAGTCGGGGTCAGCTGTCTTGCCTGTGTCCCCCCCAAACACCTTGTGCACCCCCAGCCTACTCACTGGCAGGCCATGTGAGGAACAGAAAAGGCCTTGATGCTGTGCTCAGCAATAACAAAACCATCCCTGTATTATCAACACTTTCCAGCAAAAACACAGCCCTGTGCTAGCTCTGTGAAGAAAATTAACTCTACTCCAACCAAAACCAACACAAGCAGTGCTAACTCCCTATAAATGCAAAGCTTTTACATCTACACAGGGCCAATTCCAGCTTTTTATGTGGTTGCATTTTTGTACCAACTCATATACAGTGGATCTCAGAAGACATTGGCAAAGAGGAATCTACAGATGCCTCTTTTCAGCAGCATCCTCAGCAGAATGAACCATGTGTTGTAGAGTCATAAAAGCACAAAAGTTGGAAGGGACCTCTGTATGTCATCTAGTCACACCCCTGGCTCAGAACACCACCCTTGTCCACCAAGCATTGCTAAGATATTAGCAAAGAACTACAGTGCTGTCAGTGTAGGCTGGGATGTTCTCCCTTAGACAGTTTTGAGAGGAAAGAACATTACGTTAACCAGCCAGTTTCACTGGTACAGTTTAGTGGTTCTGTCAATGTTTAAGAGGATGGAAGTGACTTAGAGACAAAGAAGGATGCCTTGTAGTGTAGACCTTAATGGTCATGTTCAGGAAATAGTGACATTTCTGTGAACCATATAAAAGAATTTGTGAACAAATGAAAATCTTTTCCTCCTGTAGTAATAGTTTGTCATTTGGAAGCAAACTCTTCTACTGAAATATCTCATTTTTGGTCATGCAGAAAACAGGATTCAGTAGCTCTTTTCATTGTTGTACTTGCAAATTCTTTATAAAACAAGGATATATTGATGTGCCACGTTTCAAAAAGATTATCCAAAACAAAGTGATGAAGTGTGCAGGAGGGATGTATACTCTTAAATACTTTTAGCTTCTTAGAAAAACCCACTTAAGTAACTCACCTGTTGTTCTTACAGGCAATCCTTGTTAAAGTCAAGACAAAAATATCCTAGACACACTGAATATTTTTAGGAGAAAGTACTAGTCCTGCAACAGAAGTGAGAATGTAAATCCAAGTTACCAGACTTCAAGATAGACTCATTCTGTAGCTAAATGCTAATTGGTTATATCTTAACGTCATACACTAGAGAAAGATTTTTGTGAAAAACAGGGATTTATGGAAGTTGCAATGCAGTCAGCCTGGCCTACTGGCAGATGGACTGCCCAGGTCATAACAATAGTCCTTGGAGGGCATCTTCAACACTCAGAGAATGTTAATGTAATAGGTCAGTAGGCACTTGTAAAATAAATCCAATAGCACTGTTTAAGAAGTGATGCATAACCTATGACAGAATATTTGCAGGTGTATCTGTTAATTAACTTGAAGTTAAGTTTTTATTTACCAGAGCTGTTTTTTCTTCATGAATAAATAATTCATCACTGTGAATCAGCTATGAAACATTTCTAGCTCCTAAATTTCTGCCTATTATTTTTCTCTCCCACAAAAAATGAGGTTCAGTTAGAAAGGAAATAAAGTCTGATCATATGACATTGCATCATATTTGTGTACGGTGGACAGTGTGCTATTCTGTCTGCATAATGAAATTCTTCAGTTTGTTCTTTTCAGAAAAATACAAGGACCGACGTAAGGTATATTCAACTCACCAGAGATATAACAAATGCTGTATGAGGCCTGTCTGGAAAACTGGACTTAACATAAATGAACTCTTTAAGTCAAAGGGAGAGGGAGTGTATGTTTTCACAGACACTTGTACTTATTGGAAGTTCAGAAATAACCTACAGCTTTTCCCTTGTTGAGGTTTTTCCCCCTAAATCCATATTTTTTCTGAACTACTGCTGAAGTTCTTTATAATCCAAACAGTTCATAATTGTTTGGTTTTTTTCTTGTGTTCTGTGAAACATTCTACCTAGAAATGAAACATTCTACCTAGAAAGTAGTGTTGATCCAAAATGAATAGAAGGAGGGTCAAATGTCTTTAGCATTTTTTCTATACAAATTTTATTGTGTGATTTCACAATAAATTATGTAATTTTTAAAGGCTGTGGCTGTTATTCACCTAAAACTCTTGCACTGGCAAAGGACAGAATAGGCCTTTCTAATCTCTGGAATTAAAATGCAATATTTGTGTGTCTTTTTGAACCCACATCCATCCACATGAATTTTTTGGGGTGCAGTTGTGTGGCATGCAAGTCTGTAATTTATTCCCAAATGTTGAGGAGTCTTTTTTGAGGAGGTCTTTGTATGCAGACTTGAGGGATAAGTTGTTAAGAGAAGTATGTTATGTCTAAAATCAAGTTACAGTTTCTGAATTTTATTAATCTGTTCTTCCATTTGTTTGCTTTTATTGCTTTCACCAGTTAATGGAACCCCAAGCAGTCAGTTATCTACCCCAAAATCTACAAAGTCCTCCAGTTCTTCACCAACAAGCCCAGGCAGCTTTCGTGGACTCAAGGTAAATAGAAAAGAACTGTAGAAACCCCTACATTCCATTATTCATTGAATGTATTCAGTGGTGCTGAAGGGAAAAAAAAAAGAAAAAGGAAAAAGTTATAATTTTGTAGGGTAACCTTGCTAGTATAATTTTTGCTAGTATGAAATGGAGAATAGATTTGAAGTAAGATTTTTGCATTCTGTTTGGTTAGCAGGGTTTGAACACAGCTTAGGAAAGGCAGAGGGTGGTGGTGGCTTGAATATGCCAGTTTACCCTCCAAATTTTCCATTGTTCCATGGACTGCAGAAATCCTCCAAGTAATTTATATTCCTTCAGCCTATATAAATGTAGTATCCTCTTTTGAATGCCTTGTAGTCTTGTAGCATTGCCCAAATTTCATCTGAAGCACCCTTCTTCATCTGTGGCACACAATTTCACCCCTTAATGCAGTCTCCTGTCTGAAAGCATTTGAGGAGTTCCTTTGGGAGCAGCCTCATGTCTGGCAGATTTTTCTGTGTTGCACTAAGAGAATTCCCTTCCTCTCCCACTTAAAAACTGGTGACATTTACAGTTCTTGGAGGCTGCTCTGTGCCTTTCGCTCAGTAAAATAAAAAGAACAGCCTGAGGCACAGTTGAGCATCTTTTTTGCTGCATCTGTGCAGCTGTCCTTTCAAGGAGAATTTTCTTATGGAATCATCAATTGCAGCCTTTCTTAAAGCAGCCTGGATGGTTTGCACTGATTATTCTCATCAAGTAATAGCTCCTATTGGTGAACTCCTGTCTGTGAAGAGGCTGCATAATTCTGTGGAAAAGTGTTTTCGCAGTTAAGAGACTGCCTAAAGGACGTGATTTGAATAGTACTTAGATTTGGGTTTTGACATGCTAATTGTTATCAAGTCTTTGTTTTGCAAGGAGTAATGCCACTGGTTTCTTCCAGGCTTCTGTGATAATTCTGACAAAAGATTTTATTGAATTAATTTATTTAATATTTGTTTTAATTTATTTGCTTAATTTTTTATTTTTATTTCTTTGTTTAATTATGTTTGAAGTTATTTGGTTCATTGAGGTAATTTACTGTTGAGCTCTCTCTTTATGCTGTTGTCCTGTACCATCCCATAGCTACTCTTTATCCAAAGCAACATAGTTTAGGCTTTCTCCTGTAAAGCATTTCCAAGAGCAGTAATAGTTCTGACACTGGGAATTAGAGCTGTGTGTCTTAAAAGTTTGTCTGGACAGCTCTGCAGTAGATCTTACAGTAGAGAACACCAAAATCATTGGGCTTAGACTCCCATCTAGTCTGCACTATATTTAACAAATGCTCTTTTGTCTCTCTTTAATGAAATTACAAGTTTAGAAACTAGATAATTTGCTTTGTTTTTTCCACTGCAGTCCTGTCTGCTTTTAGCCGATTAAAGCTCCATTAAGGCAGAGATAATTCTGATAGCAACAAGCAATTCTCACTAAAGTGGACATGTCCTCTTTCCCCTTCACTGTCTGTCTCACCCAAGTAGGCTGTTGTACTTTTTCAATTTGGAATTTAATTGATGCTGGATACTAATGGGTTTTCGTGTCAAATAATTCATCCCCATATGACCAAAGAAAACAGCAAAACCAAATTAAGCATCTCAGACCTGATGTGTTACTGAAGTAGTGAGTACCTCTTGGTTTATTCCATTAGGATGCATCTGTTCAGTAGGAGTATCCCAACTGTGCTCCTGAAACTAAAAGATAGGGAATGTTATCTAGTGAATCACAGGGTAAATTCCAAAAGGATCAAGTGTGCTGTTCAGTCACACTTGTTTCTTGATTATGTTCTAGTAGGAATGTCTCTTTTGGGGAAGTATCAATATAAAAAAACAGATTCTTTAAAGAAACCCTTTTTTTTTTTTTTTGTAGAATTTGTTTTGGTTAGACTGATGAGGAAAATGGAGAAAGCAGGGAACAATTTTATTATTTTGAGGTTGCTGCTTTTTCCCTATTGTTAAGTAATTCCTTGTTGCCAAGACTGCATTGCTGCAAAGACAAGCAGTTTGGCTTCCTGCAGCTGTATAAAGAAGGCGCCATCACTACAGCTGAATGAAAATGTAGATATACATACCATGGCAGAGAGTGACAGAATAAATTGTGTTTAAGAGTTTTCTGGCTTTGGGAATCCAATATTTTGAGTGGTTTGTTGTGTAGAAATCATATGTTTGTTTTTGTAGAAGATGAAACAGCAGCACTTAATGGTTTTATAGGAGCTTGAGGCAGCAGAAAAAAGGGAACGAATCAGGGTTGACGTTTCTACCTGTAAAGAGCAGAGCATAAGAGCAGCTGCACATGAACTGTACTTTAAAAACTAATCTATTTGAAAAGCCAGAGCTTTTTATTTTTTAAAATAAAATATTTTACTGTAGATTAGAACCTAGCTAAGCTTTTTGTAGATTGACAGTCAACGTAGAGCTTAAGTGATAGTGCTAAACATCAAGGCAGTCAGCTTGCAAAAGATACTGATTGAAGCAGCAATTTTTCTTAGTCTCAGGCATGGAGTCCTACATCATATTCTCTGAATGCCATTTTTCCTTCAAACTGAAGTCTCTTCAGTCCCCAAGGATTCCTTCTGCTTCACAACACTTTATAAGAAGAAGTACTCTGTTCAGGCACAGAAAGTTTCTCTCAGGAAACATTCCTCATGAACAGCTTATCTTTAAAGAAAAGCGCTTTCTTTCTGTCCTTTTTAGCTCTTCCAGCCAGAGTGCCCTTGTGCTATTAATTGCTTAGTACATACAGTAAGCCAGTTTGATATCCAGCCTTTGCAGAGGGTTTCTTCAAGGTGAAGATTTAGATATAAAAGTTAACAAGTATGGGCATGAAGTAAATGACTACTCTGTAAATATTCTTCTTTGATAAAATGTGCTGAGTTTCTGGTTCTTCTATTAAATTTCTGTAGAGTTAAAATCTCGTTCATGGATTAAGAAATAATGGTAATAGAGCATTAGGTGACAACTGACTGAGAGGAGTCCTTTTGCTGTTCTGTGGGCAAGTGACAACTGAAAGGTTTAACATTTTTCTCTGGTTCTAAGTGTGCATTTTAATGCAATTCTGTTAGGGTTAATTTCACTCTTAACTCTTCTAGTGCATCTGTTACTATGCACGATTTGTACCATAAAAATCATCCAGAGACTAGATTAAATTTAATATTTTGGAAAGTGGTGTCATAACTTCCTTACGCTTACTTGGGTGTACTTTATTGTCCCCTCTTGAAATTAAGTACCACGGTGTCTTGTAATCTTTTTTAAAAAGAAAATAAAATTGTACAAATAAAGAAGCTTTACAGTTGAGGCCTTTCTTAGAATCCCAATTGCCTTAAGTATCATTGTGTTTGAATTTGTCTTAGTATTATTTTTGGCAATTGATTGGCCAAATGACCGAAGTGAAAGGGCATTACAACCTGATCCAACAAATAACTTAAGTATGCTTAACTTTCAGCTATTGTGTAGTCCCTTTTACTTCAATGAGGATGTTAATGTACTTAAAGTTAAACATGTGCTTAAGTGATTTGAAGGATTAGTGCCTATCTTCATCAAGGTTTTTAATCTCCTCAATTTTGTACACATGTGCTTTGTGGGTAGTTGCATGTTAAGAATATTCACATGCGATTATCCAGCCTAGTGACGTAGGTGCCATAGCAGTTCATAGAGGGACTCTTTAAGTGGTGCATTTGTTATATGTACAATTCAGCATCTTTTTTGCCTGTGCAGTGGAGGAAAAGAGTTGGCTAATTTGTGCTGGTAGGGAAACTGAGGTATTGCACTCATTGTCAAGTCCCTTCACCATTCTCATCAGTTAGCTACATGCTTTATATAATGTGATGCCACTCAAAAATATCTCTAGAAAAAGGGTAAATCTTTCTCTGGTTCTTCAGAATAGTGCAACAAAGTGCATGATATATCTCTATGCCCTACCATATATGCTCACATTAATGGAGGCATAATCACTACGTTTTAATTGGCTATTGTATTTTTAAAAGTAGCTTCTCAGTATAGTTGGGTTACTACAGTGTTTAAGTATCGCTTAAAAAATGAAAAGTTTCTGTCTTACAGCTTATGTTACTGTTAATCATTATAATAATAAATACTGCCAGCATCTCAAATGAAATACTGATTATATAAATGTTTCTTTTCGGAATATGTTTTAGCCCTTTCTTCCTGCAGCCTGTCAGGATGAATTACAATGACACTACCAAAGTGTCCCCAGATTTTAGAGAATACTTCTACAGTTAATTCAGTTTCACTAAAATATTCATAGTCTACAGTTAGATTCATCACCAATTTGAATGTTTTCATAAAGACAGAGCTGCTTGGAGAATACCAAGGAGTTTTTCTGAAGGTATGAGAGTTCACATTCCTTTCTTAGCCTTCAGATGAAAGATTACCACAGCAATGTTTGCTCAGAACTCAAGGAAAGGTTAACAGTAATAGACTTACTTTTTTTAAGTTTGGCTAGATGAACTCGGAGGGTATTACAATAATAATGTTTGTGTCGGTGTCCCGTGTTTCTGTCTGCATTTTTCCAGGCACAAGGATGCGGGTCTGCATACATATGTGTACGTGTGTACCTTACAGTTCAGTCTCTTCAGCACTTCATGAATGTGTACAGGACAATGTATACAGGAGCTCTGTATGCCTGGCAACCTGGTGGCTAAAGTCCTTAATTTCTCTCTAGACATGAAAGAAGGACAGACACAGGAAGCATTTAGATGGATGCTCTAGAAGCCACCGTCCCATTTAGCTGCCAAGGAGTTAGGTATTTCCTTTGATATGAAAAAAATACCCAAAGGTTTCCACAAACATTTGTGTCATGGATAATACTTTAATCCAGAGTGCAAAAATTTGCCAACTAAGGTACTATTCCACTTCAGAAGAATATGGGTTTATATCTGATCCTTCCTCACACTCTCATGAGACAAAAAATAAAATCCCACCACATGTGGAGTTGTGGCAGAGCTAGGGTTAAACCTGCCATTTCAGATTCTGATCTAACACCTCAGCCACAACAGCAGCAATATTTTTTTTTTTATTCCTTTTAGCTTTTTTCCTGTTAGTGTTTGCTTTCTTGTAAATACTGTGGTAAGAAGGAATGTGCCCTGTCATGCTCTGCCCTGATTACAAGACTGAAGGAAGTTGGAAATATGGGCTAGATATTCCCATGTATTGTCACTCACTGAATACCCAAAATAGATTACTAATATTTTAGGCTGATGACTAATACTTCTCAGTGAGTGATCTGTTCTGTTAGCTCTGCTTCATCCTTGAAGAAAATGTGGCTGGTTATAAAACTGACTCATGATTTTGCACAAGTGTCATTTAACCCAAATGTCCTTGTTCCCGATCCTTGTTAAATAAATAGATAACTCAGAAATGCAGCAGCCTAGTTTAAAGTTATTATCAAGAAGCAGAGTAGTAGCTGACTGCTTGCTGTTTGATGCTACTCCTGTGCCAAATGCTAGTAAACTTCATTGTTTTAGAGGCTCTGCAAAATTAAGTTGTACAGCTTATAGTTACTGTACCTTTAGCTGATTTGGCAGCTCAGCTGCCATTAGAAACTTAAGCATTCATTAGCATTTCATGAGCCTTTAGACAATATCCCTATCTGTCAGTTCAGTTCTTTCACTGACAATAGTGTTAATGATTTAAAATATTCAGCAGTGTAACCAGACAATGTCAGCTAAAACGGAAAATGCTGCATTTGCATTCCCGGTGTCATGCAAAGCCATTTCAACAGACACTGAGCTTAAGGCAGAGAAGCATTTTAATCCTTTATGTGGTGAGTGGTGAGCTACTATAATAGCCCATGAAGAAAACAAGATATGGAACTTCACAGAACAGCAAGAAATTTTACGTAGAAGAGGGGGAATGATCTAAAATGTATTTTAATTTTATGGAGCATATATAGCTGTAATGGGAGAACTTATGAAAGTGGTGCACAGAACACAGCCAGTACATTTTACTATTTATGGCATTCATTCCTATGCCTCCACCCCTTTTTAAAATAAAAATTTATTGCTGTGTCTGTCCCTGGGCAGTATGACAGGATGACTATAAGTAGACTTGTGAAGATTCAGATGAAGTACCAATTAAGTTTTTAGTGCAGGAAAATTAGTTTTCTTCAGCCGTCATGCTTCAAAATAATTTAGATATTTGTTTTTTACAGTGTCGTAGTTACTAAAACTGAATCTATGTCTGGATGAGTATCACACATCTAACTTGAAGTGCTTGTAGATGTGATAAATCTTCACATGTATAGTAACCTAAAATACAGCTCGATAGATTAGTAAATAAATCTGATTATCGTAGGTGTATCTGGCCACCTATGCCAAAATTCTCTTCTTTAAATGAAAACTGGTGGGGCCACGCAAACATTTCTTTATTACCTTCCTAGCATGTTACAGTGCTACTCTAAAGGGAGCATATATGGATAGAGTTCAGGTAGGGAAACCTCAGACAGTGCCATCTCTGAAGAGCAGCCTGAAAGCACGTGATTGCTGCACTGGCCTCTTGATGGCTGTCTGGAGGTGGCTGCCTCAGCTGACATGAAAACGTGCACAGAGTTTGTCCTCATGATCTTGTGTAGAATGAGGAGGGAATGTTGGCTCCACACAACTGACTGTTGCGTGTAGTTGGAAGTAGGTGCAGCTGGAAGGAATTTTCTTTGTTTTTTTCTCAAATGTGTTCAACTACTTATCTAAATAGGAATATTGGGACTGAATCTTAAATTGGTGTAAGTGATGATGTATTCTTATGATGATGAGGAAACAAGAATAAAAATACAATGGGACTAAAAAGGGAACTGATTGGTTATAGGTGTTTTTAGGGTGGGTTTTTTTCCAACTTTGCAACTTTCTTATATGGCTCTTTCTTATGATTACCATCAGAAATAAAAAGTTCTTGTGTATATCCATAGATCTCTCCACATGGTGGATCTTCTTCCAATGTGAATGGTGTACCTGAATCACTCCGTTGCCAGAGTCCTGAAGGTAGGACACCAGTAATTGTTAACAGTCCTTGCAAAAATTATGTTGTAGGTGACAGTTGGTTTAGCACTTTTAGGTGGTTCCTGATGACTCCAAATCCTTTTCTGTTCTGAGATGTTTGATACCTTGTCAACAAACTTATCTTGGAAAAATTGTTATCACATTTTATTTATCAAGGCAGTAAAGATAGGAAACAAATTTTGTAAATTTTTTTGTCAAGTGGTAGCATATCAGTGGACCATGCTCTTCAATAGTCACTGTTAGGAATTTGATTTTGACCTGCAGTATCACCAGAAATGTGTTTGGGGCTGGACTGAAAGAGGAACCCTCCTTAAAAAAGCTGATTGTATTTCAGGTAGAACCACTGGCCTATCAACTGACCATAGCTAACCTTTCATTCCTTATCTCTTTAAAGCAATGTTAATTATTTTTAATTATTTTTAAATTTCATTTTAGAGTTGTTTTTTTTATTTTAAAAATACTGAAATAAGTGCCTACCAGCATTCCTTGCACTTTGCATGTTTCAGCAGCAGCCATAGGAACTGGAAGGAAATCAGCAGATAAAACTTTTTGGGTCTTTTACATGCATTGCAGATGAATTTTATTTGCATTTTTACACTGAGTTTGCAAAAAGGTACTTCAAAAAAGTAATTCGAGCTCAGAAAATTGTAGACTAAGAACTTCTAACTGCATTAATTACTTTTAGAATATGCCTATACAAAACCATAGTAAGAATTGATTTGTGTGTTAAAAGGTCAAACAACTTTGGGTTTATCTTGTTCCTTCTTACGTTTGAGATAAAACCAAGGGAAAAAGCAGTGAAGAAAACAACTTACTTTTAAGTTTTGTTTTGCATTTGTGACTGTTTTGTATCTGTGGAACCCATTGGGGATATACTGCATCCTGCTGACACTTCAGTTTGCATTATTGACTTTTTTCTTTTTTATTTTTTACAGGCGTGAATGGAAACAAGTTCTCAGGGTCATCTACCATTCTTGAGAAGTACAAAGTGGGGAAGGTGATTGGTGATGGCAATTTTGCTGTCGTAAAGGAGTGTGTAGAACGGTGAGCAAGGAAACTGTTCAGTACTGCTGTTTATTTTACTGGATAAAGCCCTGTGCGTTAACATAATTTCTTAGAAAAATATAAGGAGATGAAAGGAAAGAGCAGCATACCCTTATGCAAAGATATGCATACACTTCAGGAGAAATAGGCATAATGAAATACGCAGAGCTTCTTATGTATTCTTCTAGCAAAGGAGTATGAGAACAGCAGAGAAACATTTTTTATCCCAAAACCTAAAGGAGGTATCACCTTCTAATGGTGACTCTTAAGGACACCTCACAGATCTTCAAGACATCCCTCACACTACAGATGGCTGTGGGTGACAGTATGTGGCATCTAAACAGTCTTTGAGAGCCCCCCCTTCTGCCTCAGCACTTCTGCTGCTCTAATGTCCCTACTGCCTGCTGCTTACATGATTTTTCACAGCTTTCAGTATACTGTGGGTAAAGCATTCTTAAAGGCGTGCAGTTGTTGGCTATTAGCCTGTGCTACCAGCTCCCTTGTGCTTCCTTCTTCTGTGAGGTACTGCCGTGAGTAGCCAGAGACTTTGCAAATAGACCCTTCAATACACCCGACCCTGAAATATTCTTGTGCCTGATTTCCCATGGGGTAGACAGGATACCTTTACAGACCTGTGCTGTGTTACTGCCCTTCCTCTGAAAGCTTTGTGTCACACTGTGCTGCTAGTGCAAACATAACAGATGATTTGACTGTCACTTTCTCAGTGTATTTTTTTAGAACCACCTTCTGCTATCTTCATCAATCTGAGAGCTATGTCAGTTTCTTAAATATTATGAGGAATTCCCAACTTGTTTGCAAATACTGGGAAAATTCAGCAAATGACTGTAAAAACCATAAAAGTTACAGAAATGGTTTCTACTATTTGATCCTCATCTTCTGGTTTTATTAAAAGGAAAGAAAGGTACGTATGAATGAAAACATCTCATTCCAGAAGTGAGGTTGTACTAGCAGGTCCGTAGTTCCCTGAGTCTTCCCTTGTGCCCTTACTGTAAACTGGGATAACGCTGGCAAGCTTCCAGTCAGCAGGGACCTCCCCAGACTCTTAAGACCTTTTGTATATCTTTGAGCCACGTCCTGCCATGATATTTGCTAGGTCCTTCAGTTCTCTGGGATGAATCCCATCAGGCCCCAGGGACTTGTGAGCACTCAGCTGATGGCAACTGGTCCCTGACAATTTCAGTGTCAGCAGATGGAAAGTCACTGCTCTCACTCTCCTGGTCCTCTGACTCAGGAGACCAGGCAGCCCCATGTCTATCAGTACTACTAAAGGGTGAGGCAAACAAAAAAGCATTGCATGCCTTTGCTTTATCTTAATGTCTATTAGTCAGGTGACAATCTTCAACAAGTATGTTTTCTTTAGATCTCCCTTTGCTATTGACATACTTCAAAAAGCCTCGTTGTCTGGCACAACACTGACCAGTTTCAGATCTAATTGTGCTTTGGCCTTTCTTGTTTTCTCCCTGCAAATACGACCCACAGCTCTGTAATCTTTCTGTGAAGCCTGACCTTGCTTCCAAAGATCGTACAACTTCTTTTTCCTCTTGATTACCACGAGGAATTCCTTGTTCAGCCAAGCTGGTCTTCTGCCCTGCTTGCTTGACTTAGAACACAATGGAATTTCCTACTCCTCTGCTTCTGAAAGCTGGTTCTTAAAAACTGACCAGCAATTGATCCTCAAAAGAAGATACAGGGTACTCTGATAAAGAACTCTCTGAATAACTTAGTTTGCTTTCTTGAAATCCAGCGTAGCAACACTGCTGTCCTTTTCTCTGATTACACCAAAAATTTTAAACTCAACCATTTGATGATCACTATCACCAAGACAGACACCAACCATTACATCCCCCATGAGTCCTTCTCTGTTCACAAATAGCAAGTCTAGGAGGGCATCTTGCCTAGTTGGCTCACTGAATACCTGTGACAAGAAATTATCTCCTACAAATCTCAAGAATTTCCAAGACCTGTTTTCACAGCAGTATGATGTTCCCACTTAATGTTTGGGAAGTTGAAATCTCCCATAAGGACAGGGTCTCCACAGTAATTTCTCATCTTCACCTACAGAATAACTCAACAGTGCTTACATCCCAACTGGGTGATCCAGTAGCAGACTACCACTACACCATGTCCTTTGTTTACCATTGCACCCAGAAGCTCTCAACCACATCACTGACTGTAAGGGCTGTGCAGTGAAACCTCTCCCTTATATATAGTGCAACACCTCTACCTTGCTGCTCTGCCTATCCCTCCTAAACAGGCTCCTGCCTTCCGTCCCAGCACTCCAGTTGTGGGACTCATTCCACCAGGTCTCAGGAGCAGCAACGATATCGTAGCTCTGAGATCTGACCAACACTTCCAGTTCATCCCATTTGTTTCCCATACTGCGTGTATTGGTGTGCAAGTATTTCAGATACACTCCTGAGCTCTTCACGCTCCTGAGAGCATTGCAAATGTTCCCACTGGCATTGCCATCCTTAGGTGATGTCATCCCAACCCTTGGCTTACCTGCTACAATCCTGTTGGTATCCCCTTCCCCCATCAAGTCTAGTTTAAAGCTTTCTCAATCAACTCCCCCAGAAATGTCCAAAGATGCATTTTCCCCGTTGGGACAGGTGGATCCCCTCAGGTCCCAGCATACCTGGTGTCTCAAAGGTTCTTCCGTGGTTTAAAATCCCAAAGTTTCAGCTCAAGCACAAGATGAATGATGCTTCACAGTGTTTTCTCATGCACCCTGAAACTGGCCACACATCCTTTGTTATTTATAGAGTGAACAACATTCATGAAAGCTAGCCGATTAAAAGCATCAGCTTACATAATATATTATTTTCAGAAATATCAGCTGTGCGTTTTGGAAATCGCTTAAGTTCCACTGGAAATGGGACAAGGGGTGGTAGGTCACTGGGGTTTCAAAATGTCATCTGTGATTTTTGGAATGAGGAAACTGGACTAGAAAAACAACCTTCCAATTGTAAAAACAAAAAGAAAAAAAAGGCAAAATTAAACTTAAACGTCTGGTTTTGTATGTGATCAAATCTTTAGTGAAACGTTAAATGAATTTTATATAAAATAAATACACAACCGTAATTGCTAATAATAAGAGTGAAAGAGGAAGGGCCAACCATAAATGCTTCTCTTTTAATTCCTGCTAATTCTACTTAATTTCTAACAGTGCCTTGCTAAGAAGCCTTAGTTGTGGAGCTAGGATCCCATTATACCAGCTGTTCTACAAAAAGAATAAGGGGGTCTCTTTTGTAAAGGGTGCCTATATGTCTGTATATAAAGACATAATTCAACAGATGGGCACTGACAGCTCGACAGAAGAATACCAGAAACCTGTCAGACAATGCTGTGGTATTAGCACAGAAATTATATGGATTATATCCAGGGTTTTTTCTTAGGTGCTGTGGTAGAGGACATTTGCAGAAGGAAGTTGGTTGATGAATTGGCTTTGTGCATGTTAACTCCTGTTTTCTCACAACATAAGTGCCAAAGGTTTGCTAAGTGGATTTTGCTGATCAGTTGTTTGAAGGCTTTCAGATATAATTTATAGTATAATGCACAAATTGTGATTCTGAATTACATGCTGTATTCATAGTAGATTTTACATCGTGCCTGTAATATGAGAGGATGGCATTTCACGGATACCATTTAGATAAGGCTTCTATCTAAAGACCAAATCAGGTTGTAACTATGACAACCTTGCAGCTACAGCTGCACTTTTCAGGGAAGAGATTCCCTGCTGCATTTTTTCAATAATGCATATATCGAATGTTAGATGTTAATTCAGTTATTTTTTCTGTAAGGTACTGATTTGGACTAGTTGTATCTAATGCCAAAAGCGTAGTGAAAACTACCCTGGAAGTGTAAAAACATGCCTGTTTTTGCTTTTGTAACTACCTCCTGGTTTTGCTGAACATGCCACTGGTGTTCTGATGCAACCTGGAGTCTGTAGGCATTGGCACAATACAAAAGAGTAGCAACAGGGTCTTAAAGTATTTTCTTTCTTATGTTCATCATTAATATAAGTAGTAATTTCTTCTTAGTTTAAAAAAAAAATTACATTGTGTTTCTTTTTTCTCTCATTTTCTCCCCTTCTGGAGAAATGAAGATTTTTATTGCTTAAAGGGACAGTTCACAAACAAGAGCTCCTTTCTGTGAGAGTACTTACCAAAACCAGTAATCCTTTTTACTTAGTATATAACCACCCTCTTAAAATCCTCAGGACTTTAGATGCTGTAGAATTCAACAAAATGCTTTAAAAAAAGTAAATAAAGGAATAATGAAATACAAAAGCTCAAAATCAGTACCTAATAGATTCTACAGGATTTTAGACTACTCTGTAATGAACTATGGGGTTTTAGCTCTGCTGAATCTTATTGAATTTTTTTACTAGGATATCAGTCTTTCTTCTGCTCACACATATATGTGTATGATTTTTTTCTTTAAAGCTTACCAGTTGAACAAAGCTAAGTGGAAGGCTGAAGGCAAATTTTGCATGTTGCATTAAGGAAGTAGTAACAGAATCGTGCCTGGTCACAAAGCATAAATTGCAGCTGGATCCTGGGATTAATACACCAAGTGAGCCAGGTTGTGGTAGTCAGGGAAACAGCAGGCACAAATGCTGCTGAGAAAACAAAAACCAAAATCAAGCCCATTCTGTGAATTTTCTGTCAGCAATCTCCACGACATTCTGTTATGACGACGTATTTACAGATAATGCCACAATTTGTTGATCGGTTTCTAATTAATGGCTCTCATGTTTTTCTTGCTAGATCCACAGGAAAGGAGTTTGCCCTGAAGATCATAGACAAGGCTAAATGCTGCGGGAAGGTAGTGTACAACAATTTGCATGTATACAGAAACAGCACTAGCAGCTGCTCATTAGTCATAAATGGTGGGTGTATTTGGGTTTTCTGAGTATTTTCAGAATATCTGTTTAACAAGATGATAATGTATCCAAGAAGCAAATAATAAAAGCAGTGAGTGTTAGTCTACTAAATAACAGAGTAAAAAGCAAACTAATTGTTGTCTATTTTATTGGACAGACAAAAAAATGCTAATATGCACCCAAAATATATTGAAATTATTTTGATCTGTAAAATATGAGAAAGGAAATTTGTAGCTATATTGGTATTTATGTGATTCCCATCCCACTCTGCCTCTTATTTTTCTCTTTTTATGGCTTTACATATTCCTTTTGTAAGCAGAACATGGAAAGAAATTTTTGCAGCCATTTCCTTCTGTTTACATACTCTTACCATCCTGTATTAACAAGGATCTCTTGAGTTCCTAAACATTTTCTTTTAATTCAAGCTTAAAAAAATAATTCCAAAATTGCCTCTTCAGCAGAACAGCATCTCATATAGTGAGTCCAGTTCTGGGCTCCTCAGTACAAGAAAGACGAGGAGGTACTGGAGAGGGTCCAGCGGAGAGCACCGAGATGATGAGGGGTCTGGAGCAACTCTTACGAGGAGAGGCTGGGGCAGCTGGGCCTGTTTAGTCTAGAAAAGAGAAGATTGAGAGGGGATCTTATTAATGCATATAAATATCTCAAAGATGAGTGTCAAGAAAATGGTGCCAGACTCCTTTTAGTGAGATTGTGGAGTCTCCCTCTCTGGAGACATTCCAAACCCACCTGAATGGCATTCCTGTGTAACCTGCTCTACGTGATCCTGCCTAGATCTCTAGTCCCTTCCAACAATTCTGTGATTCTGTGAAATGGATACCTGAGATTGTCCCACTCCTTCTTTCCTTTCCTCATGAGTATATTTTTAAAAAGGAAGAAAAACAGCCAACCTACAGCCAAGAATGTAGACTAAGCATTGGAATAGATAACAGCAAATAAAATACTTCTATTTTCACTGCTTTTGATCTTAAACCAATATGCTCTTAAGGAACTTAGGAATTAAATGGTTCATAGTTAAGTGTTAGCTAAAAGATCACTGAAACACAGTATTTATTAACAATCAAATTCTGCATTGAAGTCTCTTTCACAGTAGGCAATACACCATTCTTTCAAGTACTAAAAAGATGGACTTTTTGATCCAGACACCTTATGTTTTTTATGTAAATGACTGATTGAAATGATTCTAGAGGTATCTTTGTAACCAAGTCAGGGGTTTAAATCAAAGGTATCCTTTTTGCTGATTACATGTTGTAACTGCTCTGAAGTGTCATTCAGAGCTCCAAATGCTGCATGTGTCCTTGTAGGAGGATGTAGCAAGTCTGTGTGACATTCATTGTGTGGTAAGGAGCTGTATGATGCTGTGATGACTTCCTTTAAGTAGAGGTGCTAAAACAGAATTGTTTTATGTATGACAATTTTAAATTGTGTTAGGTGCTAGGAGATCAGTGTTCCAGCATCCACATTGTTTTATCTCATATTCTCCAGGTTTATTTAGAAAATTTAGAAAGGAATCCTAAAAATGCATAACCATGAGAAAAAGTGCTAAAATCGCCTTTCTGAGATTGAATGTTGCAATTTCTTCAGCTGTGGGAAGGGTGACCCAGTGCTTTCCACCGCAAACAAAATTTTTGGATGATGTGTACAGCTTGCAGCTTTAGGTGGTGTTTATTACTTGTCTGAGTCAGCTGCTTAGGTATCACAAATTACAACTGTCTAGAGATAGACAGTCTGTTTAATACAGTAGGGTTTAGACATATTTTCTATATGTCTTTCTCCCTGCTTTAAAACAAATTAAAAAATCAGCCCCATGGATGCATTCTTGCCTGTTTTGAAAGGATCTGTATCTGTATAGCTACAGACTGTTAGGAAGATGTTTATACCTGTTAGGGCAGTGGCAGAACTGTCCAGGAAGAATTCCAACAGAGAAAATAATTAAATTTTGCTACATCTTATTCCTTCCTCGCTTAGTTTCACAGGCCAACATAAGCACTGCTTTGAAAACACCCATCCAGCCCAAATATGGATGACTTGAGTGTTGCTCACTGCTCCTTAGCAGTTGATCTTGGATGTCCTAAAACTTGAATACAGTTGACTAATGTATTTTCCACGAGTGGCTTAAATGTTAATTACACAGTAATTTCACTGTAAATAAATCATATTAATGCAAACTGAAGCATATATTGCACTATCCAGGAAAAACATTGTAATGACTTTGAAAATTACTGGTTTTTTATATAGCAAAATAGAGCAAAACAGTGGGGTGGTTGAAAATAAAGAACCACATATTAGTCAGCATTTTAAACAGTAGCTCAACAACATTTCGGGGACTGTTTTTAAAAATTATTATTATTTTAAATAAACATTAGTTATTCCTGAGCTTTATTTAAAGCAATTAAAAATTTAGTCATGTGAAACAAAGAAAGCACAGATAAAGCTATTGTGCCTTAGTTGTAATTAATGGATGTAATAAATTTAATATGCTATCTGTTCTTTGGGTAGAAAAAGCTATAATAATATTCTAGTTTTTGCTTGGACTCTTAATGTTAGTTTTGAATTTACAGGCTTCCATCCCTAAGGCTTAGTATGCTGTGGCTGTTCACTTCTGTCTGGTGATGAGATTCAGCATTGTGTTTAACAAAATTGCTTCATGTTTGTTTGTTTTTTTTCCTCCAGAGCACTTTGCTTGGAGCAGGCATATGTTTGTTCAGAATGACAATTGGTGCTCTTTCAAACTGAATTTCAAAGGTGTGACTGTTTAACCCGTATATGCCGCACCGTACTCTCACGAAATGAGATGCACACATGGCATGTGGTTTCTGAGTTATGTAGCCACACAGAGCTTTGGCAAAAACACAGTGCATTCGTAAATAACCCTGGAAGAAGAAGGTGAAGTAGCACAAGATCTTCAATCACTGCCTCTGCACAGTGGATCACATCTCCTTCTAATGCTCTGTTCACAAATGCATGAAATGCATGCTACTAATCGGTGCATTAAACATGAATAAGTTCTGAGTCCAGTGACATGATTTGTTATCTGCCCCAGTGTAAGGGTGCTCGTGTTTTATGCAAGCATTGGTATTTATTTTGCAGTGAACCTAAATACGTCTGTATTCCAATATTTATAAAGGAAAATTAAAATCATTCTTTCACGTGAAAGGGGCATGTAATTTTTTTCGCTCTCCAGTGTTAACCATGTGCTAAAATGTTCCAGAAAACAAGACATTTGAAACTAATTTGTTCTTGAAAGCCATTAGTTCCTCAGAAGTCTAGGGAAGGGGAAATTAAACGCAATCTGTGTGCTGTTAAGCTGTTGGAGTCACAACAATTTAACTGAGCTATTACACATTTTGCAGATTGTAAATCTGAACATACATATAAAATGAACTGAAAACCATAACCAAAGCAGTTATAATATTTTTTTCTTGTATATATTCTACAACTTTTTTAAAAAAAATAAAGTCCTTGAATATAAATCCTAGGTAATCTCTCCTTGAGTAACCTACACTAAATGAGAGGTGAAGGCTGGAGAGGATCAAGAACATGTTGACTATTGATGAGGGGTGACAGGTTACAATGATCCAGCTTGGGGGCAGAAAGGTTCTGAACTTAATTTCACCTCATAATACCCACATAAGAATATAATCTGCACTTCCTGAATTGCTGTCATGTTCTGGGGTCTTTTTTCAGAGATATCCCATTGTTTATGTGAGTGAAATACAGTATTTTAAATTAAACGTGGTCAGTGGTGAAATACAACTTAAAATCCAGCATCTGACAATAACCCTTTACTATATAAATTAAACAGCAAAAAAGGTGCTCACTGATCAAGTGATCAGCTGATCCAAGGAAAAGTGAATTGGCAATTTCATGTCTATTTAGATAAACTTCTCCATCCTGTTCTGAACAGGAGCACCTGATTGAAAATGAAGTGTCTATTCTGCGTCGAGTGAAGCATCCAAATATCATTATGCTTATAGAGGAAATGGACACCCCAACAGAACTCTATCTGGTGATGGAGCTGGTCAAGGTAAGACTAAGGAGGCTTTATTTATCTTGTTTGAATTCTCTATGTTGGTGTGAGATCTGAGCAGCATCTGGGAACACTAAGATCTTGGGAGATCATATACAATTTCAGTGGCAACCTGCATTTTTAATAATAAAAATACTCTTTTCGATCAATTATATGAATGGAATTTATCTCTTTGCAGTTTTAATTAGATTATTAACACAGATTTGAGGTAATTTTGCAATGTGCACAGTCTAGACAGAAGCGGATAGTGGTTTTTATATCACGCTTACAATATGCAGGGCAGATGGAGATGTGCTTTTACTAACAGAACACCTGCATTTATTTCACTAATTTATTTATTTAATAATTTGCCTTAAAGAAAGTAATGAATTTATCTCTCTGTGATAAATTTGTCTTAATTGACAATAAATGAGACAGATAGTTTAAATTCAAGTGATCATCATCCAAGAAAATTAAAACTCAAAAAATCTCACCTGGTTTGTTTGTATCAAACATTCATTCCCCTTATTTCCAGTTTACCAGAGAACAGATATGCTGCTTTCATACATGTACAGAGAAAACAAAAATACTCATTTTGCTGTCATCTGGTGAGCCAAATACACAAATTGCATCAAGTTTTAGTCGTGCGTTCTCTTGTCTGAGTTGTGTACATACACAGCAACACTGCACATCAGCTTGATTGGCATGTCAGGTACAAATATTATATAGCAGCAGCAGCACTTTTTATTTCTGTCTGAAACATTGTTAGATTCAGGATTCCCCCCTAGAGTAGTTACCAGCCTGGGAAATCTCTAAAAAAAAGTGTGTAGTTGTTGAATTCATAATTTCTGTAGCCTACTCATTTCTCTTCCTTTCTGGAAGTTATTTTTATATACTATAGGCTTTTTTGGGGTTTCAAGACAGTATTTTTTTATATTTTAATTCACCACCATCTTGGCCTGTATTTCCTGAATTGCTCCTTCTCTTCCCTGTATATTGAAATGCTTGGAATGCCACCCACAGCTCAGACAGATCACTCCTACAGATGTATCCAGGGTAACCATCATAGAGACACCCACATAAAATTTGTTGCAATGACTGAAAATGCTGCATCAGTAACTTGCTCACATGTTGTTATGTATTCCAAGAGGAATAGGACATCCATAAAACAGAGACTGCACAACTGAAACATTCAAAAATCACCTGTAGGTGATGGAATCAGTGGATTCATTTATGTTGGAAAAGATCACGCTTGTCTGCTTGTCTTGTTTGTCCTCTTTAGCTTTATTTATTGATATTTCTGCAATATTTGCAGAAATTCAGATTTGCAGTTCATTACAATTGCTGAATATTTGTTTGTTAAGGTTTTTATTACTGGGCTAATTTACTGTAGCCTTTACTCAAAACCAGGCCTGTTTTTCACTATATTAAAGGTATAGATGAAGAAAAGAGAAACTGTATGCCTGTACCTGTAGGTAATAGAAATGAGTGATCAAAGGTAGGAAGATCAATAAAAAGAAATCAAGACAGAGAAGATCTGTGATTTGTCCAAACTCAGACACCAGAAGCCAGGATTACAGCTGAGAATTTAATGTAGATGACCCAAGTCCCAGTATAGTATCTTGGTGACAAGATCATCTTTCTGCAAAGTAATTTTTTTACTGTTTAACAGGAATTTTGAGCATGCCTTTTGTAAAGGAAGATTTTACATGGGGTTTTTTTTGGCGTGGGTTTTTTTTTTAAATTAAATATAATCTTAATAATTTTTCCCACATTGGTCTTTTTCCTTTCTATTATGTAGGGAGGAGATCTATTTGATGCTATCACTTCATCTACAAAATACACAGAGCGAGATGGGAGTGCAATGGTCTACAATTTAGCCAGTGCTCTCAAATACCTTCATGGTCTCAACATTGTGCACAGAGACATCAAGCCAGAAAATCTTCTGGTATGTCCCATTTATTATCTAATACTTTCTCTTACTTTGTTCTCATTAATGCAAATGCTTGTATATATAAATGTCAAGGAGCTGAGCAGAGAAGAGCAGGCATATTAATTTAGAATAAGCATGTATGAAATAAATCTTCTGCCATGGGATAGCAATCACCATAATGCAAGAGAGCTGTGCTCAAACCTGTCCTTAGACTTATCTTTATTTACATTTTGATTGGCTGCCATTTGGATAAGCAGGAGTATTGTCTCACAAAACAATGAATTTTAAAGCTATGTCAATGAATTATTTATTAGTTTGCAAGTGGGAGAAAAGGTGGGCTGAGTGCCATTTCTTCCATTTCTTTGAATGATCATATGGTTACCATCTGAAACCTTTTTCTTTCCCCCCCATTTTTCTCTCACTGTCATTGTAGGATCATCTTTCTGATGATTTACCAATATTCCAGCTGGGAATTAACTCTGTACATACGTTTATTTTGTCCTGGGGAACTGACTGCTTTTGTTTTCAGCAGAGACAGAAGATAGCTGTGTTGACAAGAATTACCATGAACTCTGCTTTGGGAACCACTTATACCACAGTCCACAGAGGGCATCTTTCCCATTCTGTTCACAGAATGGGATCAGCTTATACGCAGAGGTTATACTTGTGCACTACATATTGGATATTAGATATTAAGTGTCACACACTGAACAAACTGTACCACAGTCTCCCCCGCTTGAGCCACTGTCATCAGGCATGCTGGTAGCTTTCATGAACACTTGGTAGGCATTTCTGAAAGCCTTCTGTGGTGTTTGTCAGTCCTGTGTAATGAGGTTGCATCTAGAGTAGGAGTCATGGCTTATCCCAGAACAGACTTTGAACTATTACAAGGATAGGGCTATAAGCTACAAGCTGAAAATATTTTCCATTTCATAGTCAATTCTTTCCCAGCTAATTCCACTGACAGTGTTTGGCCATTTAAATAAGCCCTCAAATAAATTAGATTGCTTAGCAAAAGAAAGGGAGGGGAGGCTTTTCCATTGGAAAATGTAGTTACAGCAACATGGCACTTAGGAGTGAGAAAATGAAGGTGGAAGTCTCACATTATCAGTGCATCTTCAAACGCAGACAGTCCAAAGAAATTTTAAGCTCTCATTAGTGATTGAATCAGTTATAAATAGGCACAAATGTCCTTTCTGCCTAGAAAGCCTAAAGAGATTACTCAACAGATGCAAATCTTACTCACTGTGATTGACAGTGGCAGAACATAAAGATAACATGCTGGTATTGAATGTAAATGCAAATAATTCCTATCAATTGCTACCTAGAATTGCAAGTAGTTAGTTTTTTTGCACAGGGTCATCCAGCTGTCTGAATTCTCTTTACAAGTCATGCATTTAAAAATGCAAACTCTGAGTTTTGAAGGTGTTATATAAAAGAGAACAAGAGTTTCCATTAATGATATGAATTACAGAGAGGAATGAAGGAAAGTATTGCTGCCTTAGCAGTGTTCAGTTGTTTGAGGAAACAGAAGAAATTCAGCCATTCTGGAGATTATGGAGTCCTACATTCTAAAAATTGGATTCCTTTGAAATTATGTTAATATAAATATTTTACTTTAAGAACGTAACTGAGATTAGGGGGATGTTTCCTTTGTGTTGGTCTGGTTTGATTTACTCATGCAATCACTGTTGTGTAGCACTTTTCTTTCTATTGAAATTCAACTTCTTTCATCAATAAAATGACTCAGAGGTAGACTCAGTGCTAGATTATTTATGGGGCTTTTGGTAAGATACAGTTGGGTCTGCACAGAAACCTAAACAGTTCTCAGTCAGCTTTCTCACTCCTGTACTGAACTTGCCTAGACTGACTAAGCATAGGGAGGTCATTTGCCAATGAAATATCCAGTGTAACAACTGACCAGATTTATGCCAAGTTAACAAGACGTTAAACAAATCTGATGTAGCTGCCAGTCCCATTTTAAACTCCAGGTCCTAATCAAACGAAATTATAGTATTATATTCTACTTAATATATTTAAAACTTCTCAGCATTCTAGGATTGGGTTTTCCTTCCCCCCCACTAGTTGCTTGAGGCTATGTCATGGTCTGACCTACATAGCTGGCAGACAGCTCCATTGAACACGAGCTCCAGCTGCAATCAATGGTAATAGCATTTTTCTCTTCCTTCCCTACAGGGCTGTGGAAATTGCCTCTTTTCCCCGTCTTCTTGGTGTGATGATGGTCATTTTCCAAACAAATTAAAAAAAAATGCAGATGTTCTCCTCCTCATTGTGCTTTTATTTTTCTGATTCTAGGTATGTGAATATTCAGATGGAACCAAGTCTTTGAAGCTCGGAGACTTTGGACTGGCGACTGTGGTTGAAGGACCTTTATACACTGTCTGCGGTACACCCACCTACGTGGCTCCAGAAATCATTGCAGAGACAGGGTAAGGATAAGACATAGGCCTTGTAACCAGTTATTTTTGTCAGGTAGCTCCTAACTGTTTTAAGAACTAGAATGCTTTAATAGGCTGTCTCTCCATCTTTTTGTAACCAAAGCACCCACGGGCATCATTCACAGTTCCTCAGAGAGGCCAGTTTTTTTGCTCATCCTGACCCCAGAATTCACCTTTGCCTCCTTACCCACCTCCCCTGGACCTGCTGGTGCAGTGGAGTTCATTGGTTTGTGCTCCCTGCCTCACCTCAGCGTTCAGAGCCCATTATACCAGCCATGGCAGCTGCTTGGGGAAAAACAGACAAGCAGAACAGAGTGTTCACATTAGAAATGGAATAATTTATATTGGAAGAGGCTCCAGAGGTCACCTAGTCTAAACCTGTTCTCAGGGCAGCTCTAATTAGATCATGTTGATTCAAGTGACCTTGTTTGGGTGACACATGCTGTTTGATAACTGTTTGCTTAATTAAACAACCCTATTTTTTTGTATTGAACAGGTCATTGCATAAATACAAAATAATTTTTTAACAGGGTAGAATTTCAGGAGTCATCCTTCCTTTTAGACCTATTAGAGCTCCATTCCATGCTAAGCTGAGTCTTGCCATAGCTGTAACCCCCTCTGAATTTGGTCTTCCTAATGGAAGGAGGTTTGTTGTATTGTTTCAGTCGTTGTTCAGTGCATTTGTTGTATGGAGAAGTATTTCACAGCTGCAGTGAGCTCAAATGTCAAACGGCACTCGGTCTGCATGTTTTAGATTTTGACAAACTGAATCTACTGGATAGAAAAGAACAGGGCAAAAAGACCTCTTTTTGACCTCTAGTGTTTTAATTTCCGTGCTTTGAAAGAGAAGTGCAGTTCTTTCCCCCCGTGTTACTCAAGAGACTGGAGGACTGGTGTGTGTCTTGTTGCTTAGCAACACATGATAACCTAAGAGGTAGTTACTTCACTGTAGGGACTGAGAAGGCACATCCTTGTCTTTTATCGTTAGTGATTCTGGATTGGGAAAACCTTGGTACTGACTCGAATTTGAGTATATTCAGAACACTCTGGAGAGCCTTGAGGCTTCTGGTGGGGGGAAAAAAAAAGAAAAACCATAGAATCTTGGTTTCCTAAAGACTGTAAAGTTGTGAAGAAAAAGGTGCTTAGGTACAAAATACATTACCACATAGTCAGCAAGTAATTTAGAACAGATTCTCCTGTATTCATGTCAATGCAATTTTTTTTTCATTGAAATGACTTGTTTTTTTTTTTTAAATTCAGCACAAGTAACACAGCCTTGTTTTCTCAGATATGGCTTAAAGGTGGATATTTGGGCTGCAGGTGTGATCACATACATACTGTTATGTGGATTTCCACCTTTTCGCAGGTGAGTGTCAAAGGGAAAAACAATAAAAATAATCAAGTTCTTTCTCCCTGAAGAAGGCATCCTGGGGGGAAAAACGGTGGATTAGATTGACACATTTTCTTTATGTCTTCGTCCTTTTCTTGAAATTGTTTTCACTTGTCCTTTTTCGGTTCTGGGATTAGTTTTATTTATTTATTTTTCTAAGGTCGCAGCCGGTTTAGTGCTGTGTGCAGGGATGTGGGGGTGTAAGGGCAGAGCCGCTTTTCCTTTTGTCTCCCTGTGTATCCCAGCTCCACGATCCACGGGCACACGCTGCCCTCTGGCGTTTTTTTTGGGACCCGGCAGCTCCCGGGTCTGCAGTGCCGGGGTGGGAGGGTGGCTGGTGGTAAACCGAGGGGAGGGGAACAATTTGTTTATCCTGCACTTTTAACCTTGTTAGTCTTTTTGATAAGTGTCATAGGAGCGGTGGAGTTTGCAAACATCATTCTTGCTACTCAGCGTCACCATATGTAGGAGCTCTACTGAAAATCAAATGGATATGCTTTGTGCCTCAGCCATTTTTATTTTCCAGGGAATTGGCACATTTAAATAGTGAATTCTTCTCTTAAGATATAAATTGTTAATGCGTGGTCTGTTTGTTCATTTTTACAGCAAAATACTTAATTAACTAAAACACCAGACCGAGAATATTTTGCAAAGAACACAATGTAAACAACTCTTGTTTATGGAAAACTATTATTTAGTTTAGGTATTTGGGGTTTTTATGTAGTTAGTTCATGTTTAAAACTGAAAACTTGTTTTGAAAGATACAGTATAGAAACAAATGGCAGTTTATTTCAATAGATTGTAGGGGTTAGGCATGGAGAATATCCATATTCTATTAGAACCAGGCCTTAACCAAGGTTAATAAATATTGCAAAACCAACTCAAGAGCTACACTGTTCTTTACAGAAATAGGTTGAGTGGATGTTCACAGCCAACAAACAAGTTGAAAAACAAAAATCCTGCTGCCATTGATCTCTGAATATTCATGCAACCATGTTTTTGATACAAAAGTACTTATCCTTTTAATATCAGTAGCCTGCCGGTACTCATGATACATTTAGTTTACTGTGTTTTATTTATCTCCTTGATGGATTTTGAAAATTCTCCTGTTTTGATAGTTTAACAGATGAGGCTCATTTCACTACACTTCCTCCACCAATCATATGCTTTCTGTAGCAGGTTCTTTAGAACTAGGCTGGCAAATGACTTACTTTTGAATCCCCTTTCCTGTTCCTGTGTGTTAGCTATACAGTCTCTATTCTGGTAGAAGAGCTTTCACCTCAGTATATTAGGTTTTCTCATCACTTCTGACAGCGTAACTATGGCAAACAGCTCAGAAGTGCTGCCTCTATATAAGCTTTAGAATTATGCATTTCTAGTAGTTATTAACATCATTTCTGTTCCATCCCCAAATCAAGTTAAGAATTCACATGACAAATTGACTTCTTTCTCATCATCTTCTTCATTACTGCTGTTCTGCAGTGAAAACAACCTTCAGGAAGACCTCTTTGATCAGATACTTGTTGGGAAGCTGGAATTTCCTTCTCCCTACTGGGATAACATCACTGATTCAGCAAAGGTACTGCTACATTTTCCAACCTGAAATAGCATTTCTGATGAGTCCCTGAAAAGATGTTGCTCTCTTGGAAAGGCAGACTAGAAGAATTAGAACAGACTCTTACCCACTGCTCCAGTTACTGTGCCTTTGATTTAACTTTAAGCTAAACCAATTAAAAAAGCTCAGGTGTTTCAGGCTGTTGTGTTGCTGTCTGAGTGAGTAAGGGTAGCAGAATGCCAACTGCATTCAGTGACTATCACATGATATTCAGTTTACTTCATGATGGTAGCAGGTTCAGTGCTTCAGCTGCAAAGTAAATGTCTCTAAATTTTCCCCTCCTATTGCTCTTTAAAAAAGAAAAATCATTGCTATGTGGAGTGAATGCAGTTGACATTTCTTCGTATTTTACTTGAGCCAGTTATTAGAACTTTTCAAGAGGTGCAGCCACTGCTAATTAATTGCCCTTGCTAACAGTTCTTGTGTTATCATTGCAGTTTTTTTTAAAACAGTTGTGTCTGCAGGATAAAGGTTCCAACTTGTAAGCCCTGCTACTCAAGCTAATTCACTCATGTGCTCTGAATGATATCTGAAGGCTCATTAGCAAGTAGAGATTATTTTTTTTATCCAGCCAGTGAGAAGTTACTTTTTTTCTGCATTTCCCAATGACTGTTTGTTTATCCATTTATCAACATTTCCCAAGCTGTGGTCATTTCAAACACTTCCAGGCATGCATTCTGAACAAGGCCCTCAGTCTTGGCACTAAAGGTGATCTCTCACTTCATACTTAGACTAAATAACTTGGCTGGCTGGGAAACCTCTCAGTTAGGTATGTTATTATCAGCTTGGAGAAGCCATTCCCCAAAACTGAAGCAATGAACACTCTTCAAATAATGCCTTCAGTTTCTGGACTTTCAGATGCAGTTTCTTGCCTCTGATTGGTACTTTTAATGTACTGTTACTATGTGTGTGCACTGCCCATAGAGGATCTCATCTCTCCCAGGTTTGTTTTTGTTATGGTCACCTGCATGAATATATAGAGAACAAAGTGGAACATTATAGCTGATTTTTTTTAACATTTCCTTTTCATTTGGTTTCAAAAGATTTGGTGAAACATGAGTACAATGAGGAAGTTGCTCTGAAATATGCTGCCCAGCATACTCTTAATCCTGAAGGGCAAATCCTTTGTTCCAGTGAAGTCACGCTGGTATCATTGTTTCTGGAATCAGCTGGCTTTTATTTTTGCCCAGGTATCAAGAAAATTGCACTGAGAAGAACTTGGTGCAACAGTATTTTCAGCTGTAATATCCTTTTCTTAAACTCTTCTTTTTTTTTTTTATTAATAAAGGAGTTAATTAGCCTGATGTTACACGTGAATGCTGAGGCCCGATATACAGCAGCACAGATCCTAAGCCATCCCTGGGTGTCAGTGAGTAAATTACATTTTACTTGTCTCTAATTTTATATTAAACCTGTAAATCTAAGCATTAAAGTGTAATTTTAAGAAGCAGCAATACACTTCTACTAGGTCCATTTCTTTTTATGGAACCACTGGTCCCATTTCCACATAAAGGAGAAGAGCCATAGTCTGAATTTTGCTTCAGCTGTAGCAGCACTGTCAGCTTCTGGGCTCTGAAGGAACAGAATGAGGCTGTCACTTGCTGACTGCAATTAGAAGGTGCTGGGGGTTACTAAAACCTTGAACATAACACAGCAGGCAGATGTGTGACTTCAGCACCTTTTTTGTTATTTTGCATTCAACCTAGAAAACGCTCATCTCAAAAACGTGTCTGTGGAAGGACTGTTGTGCCTTTTGACATCTTACTTGTTGCAAAGCTACTTGGAGTACAGTCTGTTTCTTGAAGCACTTCAAGCTTGAAATACAATTAGCAAATTCAATACCTAATGTAAGACTAAGCTGATGGCTGCCAAGTCCTTCATTTTTTTTGGGCAGCAGCAATGGGGAACACCAAAGTGCACCGATCGATTTAAAATCAGTTCACTGTTAATAAATACTGTTTATAAATAATGTTTATTTTCACATATATTTTAAAAGAGGGAACTGAGTATGATCTATGGAGTTCTGGGACACAAGAGAAGACAACTATAATGAGTGTGTTTGTGCATAACAGCTCCTCTGAAACTTATTTATGGGACTGTGTAACATCTCCACACTTAGGACATGATGGACCATTTAAAATACTGATTTAAAAGAATTCCAAATGACAAGTATGCTTTTTATTTTTAACATTATTTCAAGCACATTATTTTTAACATGCTTGAATAAAACTTGCAGCTTCGCTTTTACTTAGTTGCATTCAAGCATACTTTGGGGTTTTTTTTTTCCTTACTTGAATATTGTGTTTATTCTTATACAGGATGATGCTTCCCAGGAGAATAATATGCAAGCTGAAGTAACAGGTAAACTGAAGCAGCACTTTAATAACACCCTACCCAAGCAAAATAACACATCTGCTGGGGTTTCTGTCATCATGGTAAGAGAAATGAATATTTTTATACATTGATACTCTACTTTGCATATCTTCCTAACAGTGCTCTATGAGCATGTGTGGTGCAAGAATAGCAAAACCAAAGCTAGAATAGTCTCTAATTCTAGTCTTTCTTTATGTATAATGTGGATTGTCTCATCATTGCTTGAGAGCAACCAAGTCCATCACAGTGCGGTACCTAAGCTATAAAAACAAGCTTCCAAACAGAAACATGTAAACACTAAGTAGGTGTATGTTGAATGTGAACTCTTTCATTACAAAAACTGTGATTTTTTTTTTTTTAATCATAATGACCACCTAATTAGTTAAGTAGGCTCTTCCCCTCTGCCCGACCACGTATTGCCTGATCATGAGCATACTGTTGTTCAACACTGTGCTTGCCAGGAAACCAGACCCCGTTTCAGAAACTTTCTCTGTAGTATTGAATGTTTGCCACATTAATTTTGTCCTTATCCAACCCTTGCTACATTTTTTCTGTTCCCTAATGGGGAACTTTCCTTGAAGCATACTACGGGATCCTGACGACCCTACAGCTCAACTTACATAAACAGTAATTCCAGAAGGCAGATGTGTGAATCATGGCAGAAGAAATGGAATTTATTGCTATCAGTACCGAGAACTGCATTTGTAATTGCCCAGTCACTTCTGCAGAGAATATGCAACTGCAGTAGTGATGAACTGCCCTTCTGTCCTTACTGTGGTCCATCCTTGTCTGATGCAAGGATGGACACTGCACATAGAGTATCTTCAGTTAAAAATAAAACCATCTATGGTAGTAACAACAGTGATTTCCACCCTTTCCCATTAGTATTAATTACTCTCGAAGTGCAGCCCACTTATGTTAACAAACAGTTGTTTTAATCATCTGAAAGTCAGTAAATTTAAATAATGTTTCTGCATACGTACATGTGTTTGCAAATACATTTATGTGAATTAAATAGGCCAACAATTTGAATGTAGGACAAGTGATAACATAAAAATAAGTCAGGAAATGGATTCAGGTTCATGCTGTTGTCTGCATTTCATTTGACAGTTTGACTTGACAGTTTGAGAGGGACTTCAGAGCTTCCTTCTTTATACTGTTGAGACTATGGATAAGCCTGAAGCTGAAAACTGGTATAAAATGCACTACATCTAATAAGAGCAATTTTAATTCTAACTCTCAGCCCCTCTCCAACTTGCATGCCACTTAAGCCTGTCTTGGATCTCTGACACAGCATAGCTTCTGGCTTCTTATTGGTGTGGGTTTTTTCTGATTCTGTTAGCTACTGACATGCCTTCAACCAGGAAAGTACACCTCATTTTCCCTTTTCCTGCCTTATTTCCTTCTAACAGGTATGGAAGGATGTAAATGCATAATTATTTATTTCTGAACGCAGCTCCCAGTTACTGGTGAAAGGAAAAGTAAAATCTTGATCAAAAACACTGTGATCTAATGAGGGTTAGGCCCCCAGTTTGTTATTCTTGCCCTGGTTTATCTTGAACTTTGAAATTTAGTTACCTTTGTGTTCAGAAGCTCTTCACTTGTACTAGCACTCATTGCTTAAAAACATTCAGCTTCAGACCAGCACATATTGTAATTCTCGTGTATTGCAGTGCATTGCTATATCAGTCCACCTGCATATTTAATGGAATCCCCTTTAGCATCACTTCATTCCAATACTGTCACCTGGCCAATGCAGATAATACCATCCTGTGGCAGATAAGTAAAACTGCACATCCCCAGTTCAGTGTTCTTGCACAGGAGGCTCCCGCTGCCCCCAAAAGCATGTTGCTGTTAATTCATTACTGATTTTATTTTTTTTGTCAATTTTAAAATGTTCTGTAAATCTAAATTTGTTGCAATTGTGTTAGTTCTGCTTAAAGTAAGTCTAGTTTCTGTCCCTTGCTTCCTTCCTTTTTCCTCCTTTCCCAATGCCTGCATTGCTTTCCTCTGAGTAGGTCCAAGGCAATGGTACGTACTAACTGCGATGCTTTGTTCTGCTGCACAAAAATACATGTTCTCCATTTTTAACAAGAAAGGAGAAATAACTAAGCCAGTCTGAAGTGGAAAAAGCTGTACAGCCACACAAAACCAGTCAAGGAATATCTTTTAAGCACCTACCAAAAAAAATGATCTGTCTTAAGCAATGCATATTTGAAGTATTCTAAGCAAACACTAATATGACTTTTTTTTAACTTCCTCATACATATCCTGATCTATTCTCCTGGCAGTAGTTTTGTGCATATGTATATTTTAACATATCTAAAAGCAATTAGAAAAAACATGAGAACCCTAGGAAGACAGAGCCAAAGAACAAAAACACTGAAATAAACATCGTTTCTATTTAAAATAAACATATTAATTGTCACTTGTTTTATAGTACTACAGACCTAGTCAGGAGATAATATAAAAAACATTCTTGCTTAGTTACAGTAAAATTAAGCCTCCTCTTAAATCTTTTTATAACAGAAAATCCTGAATTGTATTACGTAGGTATGTACTGCTGTGTGCAACGTGTGACAACTACCAGAAGCTGCTGTGAGGACAGCACAGGAGAAAATCACTGTCAAGCATGAACTGAAAGCATGTCCTTTCCCTTTTACATAACTTTACCTGCCACTGAAATAGCAAAAACCACTTTATTTACAACTCTTTTTCCAGCAAACGAAAAAGGAAATGCAATCCTGCCAGCATAGCAGCTGCCTTGATAATGATAAAACTCCTGCAGACCACCTCAAAATCTCATAAGCCCAGATGCAGCTCAGCTGGTCACTTCCTTGCATGCTCTTTGTGCAGAGTTGATTGTTAGTAGCAGAGAATTCAGTTGTGTAGTATGGAATTTTCTCCTGGTACCTCTATGCAGATAAGACTAGTGATGTCACTCACTTAAAAAAACCCCAATAAACAGCAAAACCTACGCATCCAAAATTCGAAATACTAAAATACTTAACCTTTTCTTTTGGGAATTTTTATAGTCAGTACTTTGGTCTGGCAAAGCCTGGCAGGAAGGCCTTGGGGGTAGGAGTGGTGTCACAAGGCTGCTTGCCTCCTCTCCTGCCCAGCACACAGCCATAGCACAAAAGTTGCCATCCATATACATCTAAATCCTTGTAGTCCTCTGTTTGAGAAATCAGAGGTACTAATCCAGCTCCTTGCCAAGTCAGATAAATGAGAAATTTGAATTTATGCATTCCAAAAAAGAAGTTTTCACTACCAAGCTACATGTTCAGTTTGGAAAAAAAGAGGGTAAGTACCTTATTTCTGCTGTCCCTGATGACTTTGATGCAATAAACCACATCTGGGGAAAAAAAAAATGAACCATGCTAAATTTAACTTGTATCAGAAAATTATTTCAATATTAAATATTTTAGCGAATAGTATCAAACTCCTCTAAAAACACACAGAAATGTTCACACTAGCAAAGCAGGTCCTCCTGAGCAATCAGGCAAAGAAAGAAATCCCTAATGAAAAGGCAGAGCACCTGACTTACTTTACAAGTAGCACATCCCAGCTCAGAATATGAAATTCCACATAACATTATAATTCTTAGACATGCATATGGAGGAGGTGCCACAAAGGTGAAACATGTATTTGTTCTCCACTATTCAGTTAAGTTGTCCCACATTTGTGGGTTTAGAAAGCCCCAGCTGTACATGACTGGAGTAAGTGTACCTTGCACCATTCTACGTAACTGAATAAACTACAAAGAACTTAATTTATCTGTTTTAACTTAAATCTGTATTACCAATGGTACTTAAAGCTCTTCCACAAAGTAAGGTAAGCCAAGGAGTAAATGAATTTATAATGATCAGTATCAGCCTTAAAAGTGTGAAACAAGACCAATTACACTGTTCCCCCAAGTCTTAAAAAGCAATTTTGATGTATGTTTTTGACACAGGAACTACTAGATTTCCCTTTAGGTCACTTTAGACACTGCACTAGCAATTAAACATTACACTCTCATTTAATTAAATTGCAGTTGTTGGCTTCAGTAGACATACTACATGCTCCAGATAATCCACCTACTGCACTATGGAGTTGTCAGTTTTCATTCTAACCTGTTACTCTCTTCTCCAGTAAATTCATTTTTAAGTACAGAATTCAGAAATTACATATTTTTGCCACCGTGTCAGCTTTGTGAGAGGTCATTTGCCTACTCTCAGCAATAAGCAGAGAAGCAGACCCTTTTCTCTAAGACAGAAAAAATCATAAGGTTTCCATCTGTCACCTTCAGCAAGGGCTCCTCTTCTGTAACGTGTAGTTTTCTTACAGAAAATGTATTACTGAGCTCTCACTAAGCATCATGTGATGACTTGTCTGCAAAAACACAGGTGCATAAATTTGGCTAATAGCTGCTATGATGAGTTCCTGCTGTATCACAACCACTCACACCATCTTTTTTCCACATCAGACTTGCAAGACAAAGTTTTAAAGGTTGCAACATCCTGGCAAACATATGTCTGGAAAATAAGTTTTCCTTACATTTTCCAAAGTCAGCAACAGAGAATGCTACCATTTAATTATCTATAAGAGTTCTGTTATTTCTCCTTTTTTTCCTGGCTCTAATGCATGCACTTGATGTCTTGTAGATTGTTTTAACCCTTAAGTTCAGACAGGGCTTTATATAACTGCTGATTTCATGATGTGCCTTGGGTTTGTTTTTTTTGTTTGTTTGTTTGTAGAACACAGCTCTAGATAAAGAGAGTCAGATTTTCTGCAGCAAGCGCTGTCAGGACTCTGGTAGAGCTGGAATGGAGAAAATTTCTGCAATTGCTGCTGCAGCTGATGATCCTCGTGTGGCTGGGTCCGAGACCCTCTTCCCTGCTGCTTCTGAGCCACTCCGATCCCCCACGCCGCCTGCCTCAGTATCTCCTGAGCTTGCTGGGGATCAGCCTGGTGCGTAGGACTGATGAAAACAAATCCAACTGAAGCTCCCCCCACTCTGGCCACAGTTTCTCTTCATTTCCCATGACTGTTTTTGGTTTGTGTGCTCCTCTCGTGGCGAGCCCCTGCCAGGCTCTGATCTTCTTTCTCATAGTGAGCGAGTGACCGTGCGCTTTGAGTGCTCTTTGCCCTTGTCTTCAGAACAGCAGTAGGGGAAAGACTGGCAAATGTTAGATGATTTTTAAGTTATCTGTGTTAGTAATTAACTCCATTTCACACAGCCTTGGGCTCTAAATAGACTAACTTATGGTGTAGCTAACCATATTTTTATATGAGCAGTGAGATGATGAACAGTGACCGGGCCTCCCCTCTACAAGCAGGCCCCGTTCTGTTCTTCTCATGAGAATTCTCAGAAAAGGGGGAGAGGAAGACAAGAGATGAAAACTTCTATTTGCCTTCTATTCCAATGCCTCTATTTTTAGCCAAGTTTCTACTAAACTTGAAGAGGCAAATTTTCATGAAAAATTTTTTAGTGGACTAACTGTAAAATACCATGAAACAAACACTGGAGATAGAGAGGGAAGGATGGTTGTTTTCCATCAAGTTTGTTATCTAACTTGCAGGCAGGGTAGTGTTTAGATAATATGAATTTAAATAAAGTGACTTGGGATGTAAACATGAGCACTGGACATTTATTTGTAATGAAGACTGGAGTGAAGGAAGCCTTTTTGTTTTAGCCATTTTCTGTCTTAACTGCAAGTGTCCCATCCACACCTTTCTCCAGGGTCAGACTACCTATTAGGTAAAATAAAATTATGTTGGACCTGTGAAGGGAAAGCCTGCTGCATGTGATCCAAGCTACGATGAACAGAGCAGCTCCCACTTCTAGGATGAGCTGATACAGGAGCTGCCATCAATAGCCATCAAAGGTTGTCAGTGCTATCCCCCTGTTCACCTGGTGCAGGCACTGGAAACAAGGATTGGGGAGCAGCTGTCCTGAATCTGCAGTCACAAAATAGATGAGGTTTTTATCTTTACCATAATGCTTAGTTCAGTATAGTATGTATTCAGCTTAATTCTTTTCCTTTGCTCGTTCTTATGAATTGGTCATAGTTCATTTTCTCTCTTAGCTATACTTTCTACTAGAATTGTAAAAGAAAGACCTGCAATAAACTTTCTTCATTTAAAAAAAAAAAAAGAGATAAAAAGTCATTCATTTCTTTGAGAACTCAGTTATTTCATCAGCGAAACTGTTGTCTTCCATACCTACCAAAAACACTTCATAGAATTAATTTGAGGGATTCCCTTAACCTTTTAAACTTAATTGACTCCTGTGGAAGGCTTGGGAACACATGATTAAACACGATGGTTTTACCTTTTGAAGAGGCATTTAAAGATCAGGAAGTGCCAACTGAGAACTTAAGGTCACGGTAGCTGAAAGATGTACAGCAAGAAGAATGGTAATAAAGGTAGGGAAACACATTACATGTCTTAAACTATGATAAAAAGGTTGGGTACAAGCAGTCATTGTGAATTAACTTTGTTGTGGGCTCGGTAGAGTTAAGTTTTAAGATATTTGGAGAGTATGAGAATAGCCTTTATATAAAATTATATACATTCACAATTTGAAACAGTGCAAAAATATGAAGCTAGCACTCTACCCTTAGAACAGAAACTATGAGAGTCTGTTAGCTGGCCCTGTGTGTGGTTGGTAATTTCTATAACAAGTCTCAGATGAAGCTCAATAAAGAATGTGTGATTTCAGGTGGAGAGGGTTAACCAGCCACTACCCACCAGAGCTGAATTCAGGGATTAGTGGAGAGGGAGCACCAAGAAAGTGATGAATGCTTGGTTGAGTTCTGTTTTTCCTAAGAGGATGGATATTCAGGTGTGCAAGGCCTAGATATTTATTTTATGAGGCAAAGCCTCTCATGGATTAGCAGAGATACCCAAAGTGTTACACAAAACCTCATGCATATGTAAAAGAAAGGATGATAATTTGCCTGGTCAACAGCTGCCAGTTCTAAACTATTCCTTTGTCTAATGGAAGAAGAGAATAAAGATATAAATATCCTGAAATTGTGTCCCTGAGTTCATGACTGATCAACATCTGATCATTCTTATACAAGTATTTTGATTCACAGAGCAGAGGCGGGTGCAAGACTGTGCCAAAATGCCTATTTAAAGATAGTGATGACAGCTGGAAACGATGATCATATGGCCAATATAATTGGATAAAAACATGGGATAGGTGGGAAAGTTCTTAACTCTATGTATGACCTCAGGAAAGTAGTGTCACTACTCCATGCCTTAATATAGTTCCACTTCTTGAGCTTCCACTTGTTTGAGCTGGGGAATTTCAGTCCTTTAATTCAAGGGAGTGAATCTGCGAAAACCTCATTGACCTGTCTCAGAAACAGAGGTTCACAGTTCAGGTATGTGGTAGCAAGACCAGCAACAGTGGCAACTTCTGCAACATCTAATGCTGCTTTTCTTCTCTGTGTTTCAAAATCACACTAAATGTATATGAAAGAGGTTGCCAAAATATATAATAAAAGCAACCAGGCGTCATTCAGCGGTTTCTTGGAGTGCCCTAGTGGTATGGGAGACACTCTAGCACCCTGGTGTACATCCAGGAGATCAGAAGCAAGATCCAACCATATGATTTCCAACAGGGATGACACATTTGGCCTTTATGAGAAAACTCTCAGTTTCCTCAATCAATTTGAGGAAATTTAATCGGTTTTGATCAATTTGAAATAAAAAACTGTTAGCTAGGAAGCAGTCATGTGTTACACCACTGCCTCTGTGCTCACCAAAACAGGGTTCAAATTCCTATTCACCGAAATTATTTTGGTCATCATTAACTGCATTAGTTTACTGAAGATCTTGGGTTGGTTCTGCATAGAATTAAACTATTTTGGATTTCATGTGATGTTGTATCGTGGTAAATCCAAGCGAGTGGCTCAAGTGTTACACAAACATCCTAACCCAGTATGGGAAAGGTCTCACTGGTTTAGAGCAACACCCTCAAAACAGCCCATCTCTGGGTTTATTTAATGAGGATAAAACCAGTTTCTCAAGAACAATATAGTGATCTTTACTCCTTTTGAATTACTTTTGGGAGAAAGAGAAAGCAAAACAGAGATGCCACACCACGAACACACTTAAATCTCCGTGAATATTAGGACATAAAATGGAAAAGCTACAATCTGGACAGTCACTATATCTAGGCCATTCTTACTCAATATATCTAACAGCAATCATGTCCTGACTAAAGCTACAATAAAATTAATTTCCCATTACTTTAGCTCTTCTGGACATTTATTGTGCTGACTGCTAAATCAGCAGAGCAGGAATCTTAATCAGGGATAAGTGCTGCAGATAGTTGGAGGACTACCAAGAGGGTGTCAGGGCAGAAATAGTAACAGATCCATACACCTTGCAAGAGGTTCCCTTTCAGGTGCAGAGGGTTTCTCGTAACACACAGCACAACATAGCCAACAACTGCAGAAATATTCTCAGAAGTCTCACGGCATTCATTTCCCTCTGCTTGTAGTAGCACCACAACACAAGCTTCCTTCAGAGAACACCCCCACCCTGACCACCCCATCACCTCTTGCCAGATCCTACGGCATTTCTATCAGAAATTTTCACAAAATAGAAGGGGTTTCAAGATACTTCTGCCAAGTACTTCTTCACAAACCAAATGTGCAGCACTGCTGCTGACTCCTTGACTCTCTGACCACCCTGACTCTCAGCAGCAGCAAATGCTACTTTCCAGAGCACCTCCCATAAAATCCAGCTGACAGCTGGTCCCTCTGAACTTACCAAAACAGAAGAAAGCCCAGACTGTCACATAAAGAAATGCTTTTCATAAATGCTCTCTCTGCATTTGAGGAGAGAAGTCAGTCTCTCTTTTCAGGAATATTCTGCAAATAACAGCCAAATGAGGCCCAGCTGCAGGTTAATGCCTGGCACCTGCTAATTAAGCAGGTTTCAGGCAATCCATGCGACACAGGTGCTGCCCTGAACAGACTAACAAATACCTGAATAGCTGCAAATTTAACCCTGCTTTGCCATCTCACCACAAACATCACGACGTGGACTAGTTCAGCCAAAGCTGAGATCCCAAGTGCACACCTGGATCCCCAGAGGGTATGTGGGCTTATCTATGGAAGGAGGGGCATGTCCTACTCACCAAAGCAGTCCAGAATGGGGGTGTCCTCATAGGCCTGCTCCAGAGAAGGTGAAGATGTCCTTTCCCACAGAAGGGCTGCAGCAATCAATATGCAGAACACCAGGCTGCAGCAGCTGCTGCTTCCCCACGGAGTGGTCATGCCATCACACTGGCTGGATGCAACTCGGGACAGCACACACAGGTACAGTTGTGCTTTCAGTTTGGGAAAGCAGCTCATGATCAAATAGGGCCCTTTCTGAAACAAGCAATCTGCCAAATCAATGCCCTATGAAATATTTTGGCTCTAAGATCAGAAACTATTATTTCTCTCAATAATAAAAGTGTTTCCTAAGTCAGTGGGAAATCAGAAAGAGAAGATATTCAGGATTTCCATTTGGCAAAATACACCTTTGCTTGTTTGTTTTTTCCCCTCCACCCAGCCTAGGAAATCTACCACTGGCTTCAAACAAATGCAAGTTGCACTTCAAGAGCATACCAATTACCCCTCAGACTCTTCTGATATGAGGCTATGAATGTTGTTGAACTGAAAGAACTGTGAAGTACAAGTTTTGCATAGCAAATGTTATTGCTTGGTACACTGGGCACTTACTACAACAGTCTTTGCTTAATCACATCACATTCCGCTACACAAAACATAAAAATAACTACTGATATCACCATAACCACCTCCATATGAAAATGTAGCAAGCACAGAAAACTTGGTCAGCATTTCATAAGCACCAAGAGTACATTAAATGCATTAGCCGTGACATCTTTTTTCCTCTGTTGGGAATATACCGTGGAATCACAAGAACCCAGTACTGCACTGAAGCCCTCAATTACAAATGTAATTTTATTTAATTTCTTCACTCAAACTGAATTTTCTCATTCCAAATCTTTACTGAAAGAGATAGTAATTAAATGCTTAGAAAAACCAGGAACTGCTCTAGTAGGCAGCTAGAGAAATGTATGTATCCATACAGATATGGAATGTAAATTTCAACTCATATAGATCACAACATACAAAGAAGATTTTTATGCAATACAGACTTACAAAACAATAACAGTTCTTTTCACAAATATTTTCACAGAGTTCTGCACAGCAATCTTGTAGAAAAGTAGATTTGTGCAACACCAAAATAACTTATTGTTCCTTAGTATAAATTACTTTTCATTTCCTAAAAGAAAGAGGTAATTTAATATGACTGGGCAGGATCTGGCTGGATTTGGTGATAGCAAAACGTGAAAGACATCGTTGCTATATGCAGAAAAGGAACATGGCATGTGCTACAGTATTGCAGGGGCAAATTCTGAGGGGAAAAAAAGAAAGTAAGTCACCTGCAAGTCTAGTACTTCTGCTGCTGTATGGGGGCCACGCTCCAGCAAGCACCTGCTGCCTCAGTGCTTTCACAGTCCACCAGCAGAGGTGTGCTTTGGAATTTGCACCTCACCTACTAAAAAATACCTGCCTCTGTCAGCTTCTACTTTAAAGTCTTCAAAACAGCCTTTCTGATTTTGAGGAACAATCCACATTTTGGTGTGCTTTGAAGGAGATGCCAGATAGCAACTAAAAGGATTCACACACAAACTCCATTCCTGATTTCTCTCTCTTAAATGCACAAAACATACAACTAAAAAAAAGAACTAATTGCCTAGGCCTAGAAACATGCTTGAATAGTAACATTGATGGAAATGATTTGCAAAGTTTAAAATTACATTAACCATAATTTAAATATTACCCCTTGATTCCCAGAAACTTCAGTGCTGATGTAGTACAATCATTTGGAAAAGTACAAGACAAAGTGTGGTACAGATAAAACAGATTAAAATTCCCCAAATATCATAATTCATTTCCATTATGTTAAAATCATATATTCCTCAAGGTTATAGATAAAGCTTCAGATGGAAAATCTGTTTCTTCATAATATAACTAGAACGTGAGTTTTAACCATCTTCACTTTAGGTTTTGTTTACATACAGGGA